GCAAATATTAAGAGACCTAAAGGGAGAAATAGACGCCTATTCAATAATAGTAGGGGACTTTAATACTCCATCATCAATGGATAGATCATTCAGGCAGCAAATCAGTAAGGAAACATCCTTAAATGACACATTAGACCAGATGAACTTAACATATATGTACAGAACATTCCATCCAAAAGCAGTAGAAGTCATATTCTTCTCAAGTGCACATGGAACATTTTCCAGGATATGTCATATGTTAGGCCACAAAACAAGTCTTTGTAAGTTTAAGAGGAATGAAATCATGTCAAGCATCTTTTCTGACCACACTGGTCTGGAACTAGAAATTAATTACACAAAGAAAAGTGGAAAATTAAAAAATATGTGAAGATTAAACAATATGCTACTAAGCAACCAATGGATTAAAGAGAAATCAAAAGAGAAACTAAAAACTACCTTGAGACAAAGGAAAGCAGAAATGAAACACACACCAAATTTGCAGCAGAAGCAGACCACGGAGGAAAGTCCACAGTGATAAATGCTACATGAAGAACGAGAGAGTCTCAAGTAAACAACCAACCTTTCCACCTCCAGGAAGCAGAAAAAGAAGAACAAAGTCCAAACTTAGTAGAAGGAAAGAAATAACAAAGATTAGATTCAAAATTAAAAATGAAATAGAGAATAAAAAGACCATAGGAAAACATCAATGAAAATAAGAACTGGTTCTTAATTTGGTGAATCTGGCACCAAAAGCAAAAAGCAGCAGAAGCAAAATTGAACAAGTGGGACTACATGAAATAAAAAGCTTCTGCCCAGCAAAGGGCACCATCAATAAAACAAAAGGGAAACCTACAGTATGGGAGAATAATGTTGCCAACAATATGTCTGATAAGGGGCTCATATGCAAAATATATAAAGAACTCACACAATTCAATAGCAAAAAAGCGAACAGTCTGATTAAAACACTGAAAAGACATTTTTCTAAAGAAGATATACAGATGGCCAACAGGTACTTAAAAAGATGCTCAACATCATTAATTATCAGAGAAGTACAAATCAAATCAAAGCTACAATGAGATATCACCTCATGCCTACTAGATTGGCTATTATCAAAAAGACAAGAAATTACAAGAGTTGGTGAGGATGTGGAGAGAGGGGAACCCTGCGCACTTTTGGTGGGAATGTAAAAATTACTGCCACTGTGGACAACAGTATGGAGGTTCCTCAAAAAATTAAAAATAGAACTACCATATGATCCAGCAATTATGCTTCTGGGTATTTAGCCAAAGAAAACAAAAACACTAACTCAAAATGATATATGCACCCTGTGTTCACTGCAGCATTATTTGAAATAGCCAAGATGTGGAAATAACCTGTCTACTGAATTGATAAATAGATTTTAAAAATGTGGTATATATATATATGAAGGAATATTATTCATCAATAAAAAAAATAATGAAATCTTGCCATTTGTGACAACATGGATGGATTACAGGCCATTATGCTAAGTTAGATAAACCAGAGAGAGAGACATACAAGTAAGTTAAATATATCAGAGAGAGAAATACAAGTATCATATGATCTCTCTTATATATGGAACCCAAATAATTAAATAACCCAAGCTCCTTGATATAAACAGATTGGTGGGTTGAGAAGTAGAGAAATGGGAAAGGGGGTCAAAAGTTAAAAAGAAAAGTAAGTAAGTAAAGTACATGTAAAACTTACAACAATCCTTAGGCATCTAATAAAAGATCATCTCAGAGTGGAGAAAGCAGCAGGAATAGATTTGGAGATCCATGCAATGTTCGAGCTGGTAGGTACATTAGCGAACCAATGTTTTAAATCTCAAATTTGGAATAGAAGGGAACAGACCCAGTAAGGAAATGGCCTGCCCAAGTTAATACGAATATTTATGGATGCCTCTGGGAACTTCTGAGTAATATGGAACAGGTAGAATTCTAAAAGCGATTTATTTACATTGTACCAAAATAACCAGTAGTACACCCGCAACCCCCCAACCAAAAAAAAAATCAACCTCTTCATTGTTAGTTTGCCATGATGTAGACCAGTCACTCTTTTGGTAGAGCTCTGAGTCAAGCTGAGTAGGAAAATGTCCCAGATACTAATGATTTTCTATTGTAGTAAACAAGTCAGAGATTGCACGGACAGTGAGGTGGACCACATTTCATCACTTGTATCTAATTATAGGAATGATTGCAATCAAACAATTGAGCATGTATAGATTACTTCTTAGACACATTTTTATTTCTTGTCCTTATTAAAAGAAAGAATACTGTTCTAACAAATTCTATTTCTGAGATTATTGTATGTCTTCCATTTTGCTTTTCTAGAAGGATAATGTCATGTTGGAGCAATTTATTCTTTTTTAGAGATATCGCTTAATTAGTAATAGAATTCAGGACTTGGTATTCCAAGATTTAGGCAATTGTGTCCAGGAAAAGTATGCCAATCATAAAATAATTAATTGGCTGCAAAATGAGATCTTCCAAATTGTTTTAGAAATCTGTGTTCCCATGTTGCAAATAAACCCAGACATGATGACATGATCTTAATGAATCAGAAGCTTTTCTCTCCCTACTCTGTATTTATTCTATTTTTACAACAGCTTTTTGTTTAATTTTAAACATTATTGTAGAAGAAAGATCCATCAAACAGCTATAAGAAGTGAAAAATATGTTTCTTTTAGGTTTTTTAAATGATGCATTAAAAAGTAAAATACTTTTAAAATGATATTCAAATGATTTTAATTACTACAAAGGCATTGAGATGTTAATACACTATAAAAGAGAGATACTATTCCATCCGTGCCTTTCTAGCACAAATTCCAACTCTAAGAAAATTATTTCTTTTGATCCATTCTGATAGCATGTAATAAAAGAACAATAAAACACATGGCTCAATTACCACTGCTTCTCATCAAGCATGAATTAATGAATATCAAATTATTATTAATTGTTTTTCCTGGCTCTCTCTCCATAGGACAACAATTTTACATTGCTGTACTTTGATAAGCATTTTGTATTTAACACTTTGCGGATCAGTCTCTAAGGGCAACAGATGTTTGAAATCATTATACAGAAGATTAATTCTTTAAATTTATCAACATTTGGAAAATACATGATTGCCCTTTAATCTTCCTAGTCTATGTCAGATTTTCAGAACCACCTTGTACTTTCCTAAAATTCCACCTTCTCCTCAATGTTCCTTCCATATGCCTTCCTGTGAGAAGCAATTTTGAAGTGCATATAAAATAGTTAATAAGTTCAATTTCTCAGTTTTAATAATACTAGTCCCTTACCTGTGATTATTGAATTTTAATTTTCTTAAGAAAAGTTCTTTAGAAATAAAAGCAATAGCTTGAGCACTTCAAAAAATTAAGTTAACCAACATGGCATAGAATATAATAAACTGTGATCACTGTAATTAATACAATCAATGTCAGTGAATGATATAGATATTCCACACAAAAGACTATATAACTGATCATTCATTTTATTTTTATAAGCTGATTGTAATTATAAAGTGCTATGTACTATGAACATAGGTAACATGCTAAAGAACATGTCTTTAGAGTCCATAACCATTGTTTCTCAAAGATTAGTTATATACCCAGATTTTTAAATGCATGCAAAGAAAAATTTAACAAATATGTAATCTATCCATGTCATATGATTTTATCCATTACACATAAATCTATGTCTTTCTGTTTTTAAAACACATTCAATAAAAATTATGTCTGTGATAAACTGAAGGATTCCATTAAGATTAAATGTTTAGATATCCTATCTAGTTCAATATGTTTAACAAACACATATTCAGATGTATTTCTAAAGAACAAACAAAAACTTGCTTTAGAATCAGATAATTTGGGGAGTGGAAAGGGGCCTTAGGAGTCATTTTGTCCAATGTCTCTCATATGATAGATTAATGGCACAGAGATCTGGAAAATTCAAGTTTTTCTGAGTCTATATATAACTTTATATGTTAACAACTTTCTGACAAATTTTGTAAGAAAATTTCCTTCAACATTTCTTTTGTACATGAAGGAAACATATCTTGCTTTCTTGACAGTTTGTCAGGATGTCAATATTGTCAGTAAATCCAAATCCTTAGGGAAACAAAGGTAAGAAAATGAGAGACACGTCTACAATGAAAACCATGATGAATAGCCTGAATCCAGGGCAGACGTGGATATGGTTAGGAGTGACAATGCTCGCTGCCATCAGAAGCATCATTCCTTTGACACTGGTGGCTGGAACCACTTGAATTTATTGCTAAATCTAGCCAGATACCACATGGTCCCCGTTGTGTATATGACCTTATTGAAGGCAATTAGGTTATTTGAACAATAGCAGAATTGTTCATTGTATACAAGAGCCGATCTTTGGTGTAAAAGCTTATCTAAATTACATAGTCCTAAAATAAAAATTTTAATTACTTAATGAATGATTTCATCTTGGTTTCCATGTGCCAGGACTATTGAATCCACTTTGCTGAAAAATGTAAAGGAGATAACAGTGAGATATACAAATGCATTAGGAAAATAAGCCTTTAACTGAAATTTTAAAATTAATCATTCATCAAGGAGATGATGGTGGATTAAGCATTTTACTGTTTTCTTCTACTGCATTCATGACTAAATACGAAATACTAGTACTCATACTTATGAGATGCCTGCAAGTCAGATCTTGACAGTTTATATGTACTATAAAAAAGTCAATGCCTATAGAGTACACATAGATAGGCAGGTAGACACACAGACTTGGAGACTTTTGGTAGCCACATCCCCTAAGCTGGACTCTGGGACACTTAAAAGTTTTAGAGCTGCCACATGCACATCAATGCCCTAAAGAAAAGTTCTTTAGAAATAAAAGCAATAGCTTGAGCACTTCAAAAAATTAAGTTAACCAACATGGCATAGAATATAATAAACTGTGATCACTGTAATTAATACAATCAATGTCAGTGAATGATATAGATATTCCACACAAAAGACTATATAACTGATCATTCATTTTATTTTTATAAGCTGATTGTAATTATAAAGTGCTATGTACTATGAACATAGGTAACATGCTAAAGAACATGTCTTTAGAGTCCATAACCATTGTTTCTCAAAGATTAGTTATATACCCAGATTTTTAAATGCATGCAAAGAAAAATTTAACAAATATGTAATCTATCCATGTCATATGATTTTATCCATTACACATAAATCTATGTCTTTCTGTTTTTAAAACACATTCAATAAAAATTATGTCTGTGATAAACTGAAGGATTCCATTAAGATTAAATGTTTAGATATCCTATCTAGTTCAATATGTTTAACAAACACATATTCAGATGTATTTCTAAAGAACAAACAAAAACTTGCTTTAGAATCAGATAATTTGGGGAGTGGAAAGGGGCCTTAGGAGTCATTTTGTCCAATGTCTCTCATATGATAGATTAATGGCACAGAGATCTGGAAAATTCAAGTTTTTCTGAGTCTATATATAACTTTATATGTTAACAACTTTCTGACAAATTTTGTAAGAAAATTTCCTTCAACATTTCTTTTGTACATGAAGGAAACATATCTTGCTTTCTTGACAGTTTGTCAGGATGTCAATATTGTCAGTAAATCCAAATCCTTAGGGAAACAAAGGTAAGAAAATGAGAGACACGTCTACAATGAAAACCATGATGAATAGCCTGAATCCAGGGCAGACGTGGATATGGTTAGGAGTGACAATGCTCGCTGCCATCAGAAGCATCATTCCTTTGACACTGGTGGCTGGAACCACTTGAATTTATTGCTAAATCTAGCCAGATACCACATGGTCCCCGTTGTGTATATGACCTTATTGAAGGCAATTAGGTTATTTGAACAATAGCAGAATTGTTCATTGTATACAAGAGCCGATCTTTGGTGTAAAAGCTTATCTAAATTACATAGTCCTAAAATAAAAATTTTAATTACTTAATGAATGATTTCATCTTGGTTTCCATGTGCCAGGACTATTGAATCCACTTTGCTGAAAAATGTAAAGGAGATAACAGTGAGATATACAAATGCATTAGGAAAATAAGCCTTTAACTGAAATTTTAAAATTAATCATTCATCAAGGAGATGATGGTGGATTAAGCATTTTACTGTTTTCTTCTACTGCATTCATGACTAAATACGAAATACTAGTACTCATACTTATGAGATGCCTGCAAGTCAGATCTTGACAGTTTACATGTACTATAAAAAAGTCAATGCCTATAGAGTACACATAGATAGGCAGGTAGACACACAGACTTGGAGACTTTTGGTAGCCACATCCCCTAAGCTGGACTCTGGGACACTTAAAAGTTTTAGAGCTGCCACATGCACATCAATGCCCTTGATATAATATTGGATCATAATAAGTCTACTAAATTAAGAAGAAATCAGAAAATAATAACTGGAGAGGAAAACCAGAAAATAGAAGGCAAAGTATGAGTATAATCAAGTCTGTTTTTGCAATTGATTTTGCAGCCTAATGTAACATGGGTTTCTGAGTATTTTTCAGAGCATTTTCTAGATGTAGCCTCCTAGTGCTTCATTAATATCACAGATTTGTCATTAAATTCCATATGTTGGATCCCATGTGAGAACTGCAAGTGTTCCTTTTTCATTCAGCACACCAACATGCCATCAGAAACACACCTTCACCTAGTGCTGTTGATCAGCTCTCCACTATTATCTTGGGTATTTTGCCTACTTATTATTTAATGAAAAACAAAATGCTTACAGTGGCTATTAAAAACTAATCAAGCTTCATAGGGTTTTATTTTGCTAACCTATGTGCACTGTGCATATCTTTTAAGCCAAATTTCAAAGCTTTCATTCTAAGCCTACAGAAAATATGAGTTAAAATATAAGTCTTTAATGTTTTTTTCTCACATCATTAATGCTAGTAAAATGCCAAATAGTAGGTATGTTGGTCATAAACTGACAAAAAAAATACTTAGATAATACATTAAATACCGAATTATAGAGAATTAACTCTAAATTCTCCATTTAAAAAATAACATTAAATGCATTAGGTAAAACAGGTATAAAATTAGATAAAAAATATATTCTATTGCCAATGTGAAAGCTCATTCACAGAAATGGACTTCAATTATTTGAGCAGACAAGATCTATTTTTGGGAAAAAAAATGTGAAGTTTTCTAAAATAAATTACCCCTTTGCTTAGTTGTGTCTATGTGTGGGCTAATTTTAGAAGACAATATAACTGTTGACTGGTTTCATACTTTAAAAGAAAATACTTCCATAGTATAACTGTCTTCAGATGAACTCTTTATGAAATGTAATAAAATCCTTCATTTTCAACAATATCAGATGCTCATTAGTATTAGCAAAAGTGAAAGTACCTTACAGGGCTTATCACTTACCCATAACTTTAGAGTAGCAAGGTTCACAGTGTATTGTCTGTCTGTAAATCCAAATACTGTCACCTGCTTGTAGGTTTTCCAAAGGCTGTTTGCATATTTCACACTAAAGAAAAAACAATATATAAAACTTACCTTATATAGGAAGTTTATATCCTAGTGTAATAGGATAAACAAGCCCTTTCAATTAATTCAGTACCACCTTGCATAGCAACCCTCAAATGCAACCTCAAGAGAACCCACATGTCTATAATACACATTCCAAACTTTTCAAATCCTCAAAGCATCTCTCTACAATGGAGGTATGCACTGAAGCTTTTACTTAACTCACAATAAAAAGACACACATTTTCAAAAATTGCTTATGCTAAGGACAAGGTCACTACTTGATATTGCAAACAAAAACACAAAACATGTGTATTGTTTGCTTACTAAGGGAGAGCTATGCTGTGCAGCACAGCCTCCTTGAGCAAAACAAACAGCTGATCTTACATAGGATTTAGGGAAAAGTTTGTTCTGAGTTGTGCTGGTTATGGAGGCGGAAAAGGGTTGACGTCTGCCTTAGCCCTGATCAAGTCAACTTGATAAGTTTAAACCAGTCCAGGTGGTTCTCTAATATCATGGTTATAGAATAATCCATGTTTTCTAGGAGTGTGGGGACATTTTTATTCTCTAGTAGTTTTTTATAGTTAAATTGAAAATGGAAATAAATCATCCAAAATAGAGTAAGTGGAAATTACTATTACCAAAAGCAATAATCAGGAGAATTTTCTTGCTTTAAAATGTTTTCTGCAAACAATTTTAAACTAAGAGCTGTAAACTAACTTTTGTTTTAGTGAGCAAATTAAATAACTATAAGAAAAATTCATTTTCTTATAATTAAATGATTAGTAAATTTTCAAATTTTATTTTTCATACAATTCTATATTCCAATTATGTCTTAAAATTTGATTTGGTTTTTTTTTTTTTTTGCTCAAAATGAAGTATCATATTTCTGATTGCTATGTGTCACTGCCTGAAGCTAATTGGAGAAGAAGCAGTCAGTTGTCAAAGCATTACATTTGCCTGACTGAATTAGACCATGGGATGTCAGCACAGAAATGACCCCTAGATGTAGGCAAATGGTTCTTAAACTGGATGTCCATGAGACCTATCTAAGGAGCTCTTAAAAATACCAATATGCCCAAGGGCTTAAGAACCACTAATCTAGTCAGCTACCTCATTTTATAGATGAAGAAACTGAGGCCAAGCTAATATTGGCTGAAGTCCTACAGCTACAATCAGTGGCACAGTTAGAACTTGAACTCAGGTATGCAGGTTCCCTGTTCAGTGTTCATTCAGTTATACCAAAAACTATAATGTTGACCTATCCAATATTATTGTGAGATATAAAAGAAATGGCATGTGAACACAATCAGTGAAGCTTTCTACTATGTAAGTTTTATTATTATTATACTCAGCCACAATTAATTATAATTACTCATGCCTTCAAAAGCAGACTGCGTTTCATTACTGTTCAGCCAGTAGGCCTAATTTCATGATGTTAGGAGCTGCTAGGTTTCTTCTCAGCAATTTCTTTTCCTTTTTCGATTTCATTATGTATTTTATGTAATGCATGATTCATTAACATGTGGCAAAAACTTTCATAAAAAGAACAAGTATTTATCTCTTTACAGATTCAAATCTCTAGGGTTAGAGGAATAAATGTGTCAGTAATCAACTCTAAGACTAAAGCCAAAATAGTAATTATAAACGTTTGAAGTTTAAGTTGCAGAACTCTGAGAAATACTTAAGCAGTGCATTATTAATATGAACGAAAGTGTTTCTGAAAGCTTTAACTTCATCTCATGTATTTCATTAAATAATTATTTTTATTCCAGTCATTATGCAATTTTATATTTAAATGCAATAAACATATCCTTACCTTGAAGCAAGTGGAATGGCAGCAGATTTGTAATTCATCCAAAATCATTTTAGTTTCTGTGCCCAAGGGTTTTCGGCAGTAAGTACACATATCTCTTTCAATGATAGACCTATAGAGATGTAAGCAATTAAAAATAAATTTGTCATCATGCAAAAGACAGATGTATTCTCCATAAAGTCATGTGGAGATGACATGTTAAGTTTGTTGATACATTGGGATATTGTGTAAAAATCAAGGAAAATTCAGGACTTAATTATTCTGGTGATAGAATTGATTCTTCTAGTTCAATAGTATCAAAGAACTAACAAGAAGGAAAGTCTCAAATTATTAATTCATTAGCAATCAAGAGTGCATCCAGGCAGGGCAAAGATGTTCAGTTTCCTAACTGAACTAGGTTTTAAGCACCCCTTGAAGCTAGAAGAGGTTTTAAAGTTATTAATTTACATATATCATAGGAAAACCATACTTCAGATTAATATAAAATTTTAACTCTCAAAACATTCAATAGGCTAGAAATAGAAATCCATTAAAAAATGTGTTGGTAAATTCACAAATGATGGGTCAGTAGTAGCATAGGCTCTAGGGACTAGAGTCACCAAAACACTCCCTTAGGACCCTTCTCATGGTGTCATTGTAAGATGCACAACTGTGGACTCCTTTTTATGACAAAACTTACATTCGCTAGCATGAGCTAACCTTGCCACAAATTTGACTGGGGAAAAAGAGTTTATTATTTATTCTGGAAAAAATAATATTCAATAATAAATTACTGTAAATATGATTGGCAAGTCTAAAAGAGTTCAGCAAGTTCACACCTGAGCCATAAGAAAGCCAGTAATTATGTGATCCTTTCCCTTTTGGAAGGTATAGACTGCCTGAAGAGCTGCTTGTTTCATGATGCTAGCATGTAGGCCTGAAATGTCCAGAGTAGGATACAGAATGGGGTAGTGAAATAAAAACTGCCAATTGCTTACACATGCTATATGCTCCATACGTGCAGTGCATTTTCCATGCACTTTGCTTATACAAACTCATTCATTCTTCACAATATCTTTGGGAAGCAGGTACTAATATTTCATCGTCATGTTACAGAAGAGGAAACAGAGGCACAAAAGGGTAAGCAATCTACTCCTGTCACGCAACCAGTGAGCAGCAGAGGCAGGATTTTAATGCAGGCAGCATGGCTCCCGAGTCCTTGTGCCACCCCTGGGCCTGCCCCGGAGGACTGTTGGGGTCGCTGTGCGGAAACAAACTAGCCATGCCCAGGAGCCATGATCCTATCATTGCACCCAGGACTAGAAGCAGAGAGGAGGGAAAACGGTAAGGATTAGGCGGTGGCAGAGGAAGTGATTAGAGTAGATAAACCTTGCCTGGTTTTATACTTTCAGTCATTCTAGTAACTTCTTCCTAACCCTTACATATATAAGTAAATATTTTCCTCTTTCAATTAACTCTATAGCCACTTGCTCATTTATTACTGGCAAATACTTTCCTATGGCTAATTCATATATACATGTGCCTAGTAGCCGCTGTGTGACTCCATGCCCACAGCACATTGTGGATATGTGGAGTTAGGAGAGCGCGACCCAGGGGGCGGCTAATCCCTGGGGGCGAGTCAGGGAGGCCTCATCAGAAACAGTGTCATGTGGGTTAAGCTTGGAGACAAAGGGGCTCTCAAGGTGAGCTCAGTGAGGTGGAGCGTGGCATGGCGGAGGAATTCCACGCTGAGCCAACAGGATGTACTGACGCGCTACACAAAGACGGGTCTGGAGCGATTGAACATCAGTCTGTTTTCAGCAGGCGCAGGTTCTGAAGGCCCACAAGTGATGTGAAAGGAATTTGTCTTTATCCTGTAAAGTGGGAAGCCACGTTAAATTGGACTGAAATGCTTGGATAAGAACTGTGTGGATATAGCTAATTTTACATAATAATCAGCAGAAAAAGTTGCTTGACTGACTCGTTCTGTAGAGAATGGACTTTTGCTCTGATGACTAAGAAAAATTTCAAAGACCACTTGAGAAACAGGACTGAAAGTCTTCATATTAAGAGCAATACTTTAATGAAGAACGTTTCCCTTCTTTAACAATAAAAATATGAACACAGAGAAAGCTCTGATGGTGTTCTTACTAAGCTCATACTGTTAGTCAAAGATCTTTTCAAAGCACTATGAAAAACCTAGCTCTAGTTTTTTGTTTTTTGTTTTGTTATTTATATACTGTCTGTAGTTCTAATGCTTGTGTAGATGACTTTACTCCTCAAAGAGGTGTGACTTAAAGGCAAGATATTAAAAAGAGAATTGGTAATAACAAGATCTTATAAAACTGACAGAAAGGATATAATTTTGATGACTGGTCCATCCGTGTTTTCCTTAGCAAATGGAACATAGGTTTATTTTTTCAGAAAACATTTATTGAGGACCCGTCAGGTGCCAAGCACTGCATTATAAGCTGAGGCTATGCATAAAAATCAGGCATGTCCTTACCCCTAGTGAGTCCTATTTCTAGCCTCTGCTATAAAGAAACACCACCAATAGACTTTTGGACATTTGTGTTACAGCTGGTTTCTAGTAGCATGAATGCTAATGATTTATTTTCATTTTCTCCACTGGAAGTCTGCAGGCCACACTTCCATGAGTGTCACCTACGTGCCCTACAAACATTAAATGGTAAAAGAGGATCAACAAGAGCAAGGCCTGGGGTCAGTTTCCCAGCACTAAGCTGACATGCAGCGTGACTCCCTTCCTGGGAACTAAGCACGGGCCCAGATGGGTTCCTAGCAGCATACCCACGAGCTGCTGGTGAGGTGGGCTGGCTTTGGAAAACTGCAAGGAAGGAGGGCTCAGAGCGGTCCAGTAATGCTGTGAAGCCTGGACACCAATGGTGGGGCATTACTGGGACTCTTAGGAGTTGGTAACAGCAGAGGAGTTGGCCTGGGAGGCGGCCGTAAGGCATGGAGAGCTTACACTGGAATAAAGGAATCAAAATCAGAGTAGCAACCGCCAGGAAGCCATGTTGTACTTGTACTTGTTCTATTCATACACATATATAACAATCACCATGAAGAGAGCCAGTTCCAAGCACAATGGACAACAGGTGCATTCCAAGTACAATGGACAGCAAGGATACACACACACACATATCAATATTACATACAACATAAAAATGTATATATAAAACATGTAAGTATATACACATATGTAGTAAAATATTTATCACATATGCATATATATGTATATATAGTACGTAAGTGTATATATATATGTATATGTAAGTGTGTATATATAATTTTTATGCATGGAAATATAGACATACTCACCTATCTGAAGTTGAATAAACAGTTTGTATGTATTTTCCAGAGATATTCTCCTGATATCTCTCCTTTGGTGATTTACTAGAAACAGACAGACACAGACACATGAGAACTGGCTATTTTCCTAGTCTTGATGTATACACCAGTATGCAGGTGAGGGAGCACACACACACTTCCTCAGCCAGCCTTCTTCCTCTCTGTGATGTGTTACAAGCCGGGACCACACTGACATCTTTTTTTTTCAGCCTGGAGATTTACTGATTCACAAGCCACCTCCAAGTTGACATAAGTTGGCAAATCTACTGACTAAATAGAGAATGGGGCAAGGAGTGTAGGATGAAGTGTGAGCAGCAAAAGAGACTGTCATTTTTTTATGAAATGTGTGCTTGCACTACCCTCATTGATTTACTGAAAGAATAAAATCAATGTAATCCAACTTAGGTAAAGTAAGTACACGGAGCATGAGCCAGTGTAAGCACATACACACACAACATTCACACAGAGAAGCAGAGACTCTCAAACTTCTAGAGTTGTCTATATAAATTTTTATTTTTACTTGAAACCTTCCAAGAAAGAACAGTTGAAAATGAAAGCATAAAAAAAGTGTAGTTTTTAAGCCCTCCTTGTTCTATTTCTTAGATTGTCCCAGTTTGTAAATATCACTGTTTCCTGGAGACAAATGCAATCTGCAATTCACTAACCAGCTGGCTGCTCAGAATTGCTTCCCAAGTACTTCCGCTACCTGTGAGTGTATTAGGACTGGAAGCAGTATGTTCCTAGTATTTCATATATGAGTGATAACTCCACAGTCCTTTCTTGGGTTTTTTTAAATCAATCTCTCTCTCCCTCCAAACTGCCTGTAGGCATATTGCTGTCAGAAACAGAATCTACTTTAGGGAACACATACCCCTTAAGACTAAGTAAGAGTTTGCACATATTTATGCATAATGCATACATGTCACTCCCATTTTATTGATGGGAAACTGAGACATGAAGAAGCTAAGGAGCTTTGCAAAGGCCAATGGTTAGTAAACGACAAAGACTCTATCCTAAGTCCAATTTGAAGGCCTCTATACCAGACTGCATTGTCAGTGTAGAGTTTAGGGAGAATTGGACTGCACAGAAAAATCAAATTTGAGGCTACATTTTACAAGGTAAATTAGATGTGGTTTTTGAGAGACCTCTTTTTGGAAAGTTGTTCACCTCCTAACACATACTGAATTTCTTGGAGCACTTTCAGGGCGCCCCTACCCCCACAGAAGTGGCTCTGATTAACACATGTCACAAATATCCACATTTGTATTTCCCGTCATTACATTAACCACAATGAGGCTAATTCTTGCTTTTATACCCCTTGAAAATCAAATGGTTTGTGAATCAATGACCTGGGCTGCTATTTTCCTCAAAATGTCAAAATGTTTCCATCACTCCCATAGCAGATGTTGTGGGGCATTGACTCCTTATAATTTGGGCCAATGTGTATCTACTAAAAGTTTTACCCCTTGTTTCAGATTATAGACAAACTGTAGTAGACAGAACCAGAAGAGTAGATACATCTATTTAATTAAAGTAGGACTCCAAATTAGTGTAGGAAGAGTTATGTAATTAGTGTCATTTTGTATTATGTAATTTATAAAGCTTATTATAAACACACAGTCATATGTGTCACCTTCAAATGGCTGTCCTATTATGTATATATTTATTATATTAAAATATTTAGTCCATCCAGTGACTATGATTATTTGTCAACAACTTAATGTTGGAAACATTATAAAGAATGATACACCTAGAACTCAATATACTTTTGAATGATCTTCTAGTTGAACAAAACAAACATACTCCAAAATAATAGCATCCCTTAAACATTAAAAATGTAAAAATAAATCTAAAGATAGCAAAGTATTTTAAATAATTTCCAGTACCTATTCTCCACATACGTCCTTGTGTACACAACAGTATTCTTTGGTCCCGTGCGCATGGTCTCAGCCCTGGAGCTATAATACAAACCATTTTGCTTCATGTTTAAAGTTTATTTACAAGAATGAGAATAACATAGCTATTATCCAATTCAGTACAAAAAATAATGCTAATCTATTCTTTCTAAACTATAACCATGGAAATGTAATTGTTGAAGTGGTATTAATGAATCCACTTCTGCAAAATTTCGTCGTCTCCCATTTTGTTCTTAACTTCCACCAGCTTGGCTTACTTCCAGAAAATTGCTATGAAAATTGGTCATTCATCTAGTTAATCTGCTGTAGAGCATGAAGTTTATTTTGAATATTTGTGTAATATGCTTTAGTGCCTGTTTGCCTAATGTCCCATTCATATGTCCAAACCATAAATTTCCCCTCAAAAAGTTGACTTTAATTAACTAACATGATAACACCTGATTTAATAAAACCTTTAAATCTACCTAAAGAATGCTAACATCAATGGCACAATTAGGCTTACAAGAAAATGTGGACTTTTCAGGGAAAAAAATCACATTTTAAATTTTCCCTTGCAGTGTAAGGCTGTTGGCTTTTAGCCACTAATAAAATAAGAAATTTCTACCTTTCAAAGGAAGGGTCAGGCTGTATAGGGGATGTTTTTTAAAAACAGAAGGAAAATAGTCCTCCCACTTGTTTTATAATTGACCACAGTATCTGGAATTCTTCCTGGCTTCCTAAGAATAGGTAATGGTTCTAGTAAACTTGTTGGTTGAAGCATCAGGGGGTCCACTGACTCGGCTATCTAGCCTGAGAAAGTAAAGGCAAATTTTTGGCACTTAAAACCAAGGCCACTTAAAAGTTTTTTGTTTTATTAAAATTCTGTTCAATTAACATTTTTACATACAGTAGACCTCTTTATGTTTGCCTAGTTTCTGTACAGATACACAAATAGAATACATATACTATTTTACCTCTCCACAATGACCACTGTCTTACCTTTAAGAATCATCTACAGGTACATGTCACAGTATCTAATGCTAGGATAGAATACCTTTGATCAAGAGAGAAACCATCTGAAATTTGTTTCATAACATTTTTATACCAGCACTGACATTTTAGGAAACTTCTCATGTACAATATATCTTGAGAGCTCATCAATTCAATGAACGTTTTCCAGGGGTTGCTTTTAGAATTTCCAGTTTCCATTTTGTTTTTAATGGAAAGCAATACTTTGAAAATTGTAGAACTCGGTCCTAAAGTTCTGCTAATCTAAAAATGTCACTTTCCTTAACAAAGTGTAGGGATTCTTGCTTTTTCCTTTGAAACAGAGGAACTTTTAATGCAGGAATAGTGAAAAATTTTAGCTCCTTTTCCTCTGCCATATCAGTAGACTCTGATATAGGAGGGTATGAGCACCAGAGGAGGGTTCAGAGCTGAATCAAGCCTTATCATTCTCGAACACATGGTTCCTTTCATTTCCATATAGCTCTTAAAGAAGAGGAAAATATTTATCCCCATATTATCTCTAGCATACAGTAAGTCATCTAGTTTTAAGATAGATGTTTCATAACATATACAGCTATGTCAAAATGACACTAAGTAATGAGAAAGTAGAATCAATATCAGATTTTTTAATGTGATTATTAGAATATGTTATTCCAGGAATAAAACCTAGCTAAAAATTGTTTGGAAATATTCAAATCCTGTAATATACAATACAGAACCCAATTCTAAAAAATAGACAGCCTCAATGGACAAGGGTTGTCAGTGAGTTTGAAATGTGTTTGTGTTGTCCTCAGCAATGTAAAAATCAAATGTCATCAGTTTGTAAAATCTACCAACCGAAGAGGGAGATAATTTGTAACCCAGTACTGTTCTGGACTGAGCTGTATCCCCCAAGCAACCCAAATTCATATGGTGAAGTCCTAATCCCCAGTGTGATTTGGAGATAGGGCCTATAAAGAGGTAAAAAAGGTTGACATCATAAGGAGGGGGCCTTAATCCCTTAGGACTGGTATCCTTGTAAGAAGAGAAAGAGGCACCAGATCTCTCTCTCTCTCTCTTTCTTGCTGTGTGTCTGTGTGTGCACACACAGGGGAAAGGATACATGAGGACACAATACGAAGGTGGCCCTCTGCAGGCCAAGAAGAGACACCTCAGCAGAAACCACCCTTGACAGCACCTTGATCTGGCACTTCAACCTCCAAAACTGTGAGTTAATTCTGCTGTTTAAGCTACCCAGCCTGTGGTATTTGTTGTGGCAGCCTGAATAGACTAATACAAGTAGCATTTCCTAGCTAGGCTTTTAATGAGAATAATGAAAATGCCTCATAAAAGCTTTAATTTTTATAATTGTGAATAAAAATGCTAGTAAATAAAATTGAAATATGGAACAAACAACAAGCTCTTTGATGGATTTTGCTCCTCAAGTAGATGTGGAGGATGATAAGTTTTAAAAAAAAAGACCTTTCATTTTGGAATAATTTTGAATGTATAGAAAAACTGCACAGATAGTACAGAGAATCCCTATGTACTCTTCACTACTTACATACCCATGGGATGTTTGTCAAAATGAAAGAATTGATGTTGGTACAATACTATTAACCAAACTACAGACTTTATTTGTATTTCATCAATTTTTCCCTTAATGTCCTTTCTCAGTTCCTGAATCTAAGTCAGGATTCTACATAATCATCATGTCTCTTTAATCTCCTAGTGTCTGTGATAGTTGTCAAATTTTTCCTTGTTCTTCATGAGATAGTGATAGATTTTACAAAGGAAATTCTATCTTGATGTTAATAACTGATAACACTAATATTTTAAAATGTACAACCATCAAAATAGTTAGACAATACTTTGGCAACCAATGAAATCACTTGTAGTACTTTGTAAAATACAATTGGCCCAAATCCAAATATTCTTATTTAATTGGTATGAGGTACAACTTAGGCACTGAGATTCTTCTAAGCTTCTCGAGTGAGTTGTGCAAGTCAAGATTGAGAACTACCACTTTAGAGGTTGAGCCGTCTGCTACCTTACCTTCAAAAGAGCACTGATCCTCAAAGTGTGGTCCCTGGATCAGCAGGTAGTTCTGATGTACACCAAAGTTTGGGAACCAGAGCAATCGGAGAAGCTTTGCCAAAGTATTCCTCTCAGATGCCTTGAATAATCCTCAGAAAGGAGGGCTCATGACTCTCAATGTTTGTTGCTTAACAGGTTTACTGTTAAGAAATTATCCTTCCTTAGAATACACTGCTGAAGTGTAACTTTCAATCAATGGTTTTAGTTTTATTTCCTTAATTAAATATAACTTTACAAAGTGGAAACTCCAATGGTGTTGGATCTTAAGAATTCCAAAAGGAATTACACTTGAGAAAATGGTTTCTGGGGAAATTCACCTTGAAAATATACCTATTTGGACCTTTCATACATTGCTAGTAAGAGTATAAATGGTATAGCCGATTAAAAACGTGAAGAAGCTTCTTTTCTTTTTTTGGCAGTACCTCAAATAGTTAAACATAGAGTTACTATACCATCCAGAAATTCCACTCCTAGGTAAATATAAACCCAAGAGATATGAAAACATACTCCACAAAAAGCTTACATACAAATGTTCATAGCAGCAATAGTGAATATAATCCAATAGTGAATTTTGATCCAATAGTGGAAACAATCCAAATACCCATTAATTGACTAAGGGATAAAATGCTGTATATCCATACGGTGGGATATTGTTTGATAACAAAAAGAAATACTGATGCATGTTACAGTATAGACAGATCTTGAAAACATTATGCTAAGTGAAAGAAGCCAGTTACAAAAATGGAGTATTATATAACTCCATTACAGGAAACATTCAGAATAGGCAATTCATGGGCAGAAAGTGGATTGGTAGTTGCCTAGGGCTGAGGGATTGGGGGGAAAATGATGTGCAACTGCAAATAGACATGGGGTTTCTTTTTGAGGTGATAAATATGTTCTAACATTAATTGTGGGAATGGTGGCACAACTCTATGAATATATGAATTAGAGAACATATATTTGCTTGGGCATCCAATTACTGTATAAAGTGAATACATTCCTAAAATGAATCAAGTTTCAGTTTAGCAAACTGGCCCAGGACTCTATTTAGATTTCCATTGTCTGATTAATAACTTAATCTTGGCAACCTGAGATTAAACAGCATAAACAATTTCAACTGATAAACATCTATATCAATACAAACTTTATAAATCTCTTTTGCATAAAGAATAACATCTTATGAAGAGCTTACTATTTTGTATCATGTATGTTAGGGTTTACTTTTTTAAAACAGTCAAGATCTTGAGCTCTTGTAAAAATGAAAAATTGTAAATATATAAAAGTCCTCCACTGTAGAAAAATAAAAGGACTTGATGCCAGAATACTTAGGTTCATTTCACCTCTCCAATTTACTAACCTGTACTTAATTAAGTCTCTTACTCTCTGATTCTCAATTTTCCTTATGTTAAGTATTTGCCAATTTTGAAAGTCAAGTAAATGTTCATTTCTGTAGGTAGAATAAAAATTTTAGTATAAAAATTGGGCCCAGAGATTTCTTATTTTTCTACTCTTTTTCAAGCGAAAATTTTTATTATAGTGTTCTGTTGGTGTTGAGGTGGTGGTTAATGCCCATTGAATTTTCCCTGTAATTTGTAGATAGCAAAACCATGAGAAATCACACTGGTATAGGATTGTGATAGAACTAAAGGAGAATGAATAGCACCTGGAAACAGAACTCAGGGTTTAACAAATAGTTTTGCAGTGGTGGTAGTTAAGGCCTCTAAATGTAACTGATTGTGATGACTCCCATCCCACTGGGGAGAGAGTGGGTGCATTTGTGAATATATATAGGTAATAGCTGGATATTGTCAGGCAGGAGGCACAAATGAAATGGCAGGAAGAGAAAGGAGAATGTGCATGCACCTTATTGACAACCATGGCGTTTTCTCTCTGCACACCACCACCAGTGCAGACGGCCACATCCGTGCTGCCTTGCTGAAGAAGGCCGCCAGACAGACCATGGAAAGCTAGAGTAAGCTGACCTTATGAGGAAGAAGGAATTGGGAGGCAGCAAATGTTCATGGTTATCAGACAAATACCAAGTAGAGAACAAGGAAGCCAATAGGTAGAGGGAAAGGCAAGAAAAAAATTAGGAGAAGCCAATGCTAGGAAGTAGCTAAGTAACAGTAATGATGAAGAATTGAGTTAATGTCAACTATTCCTGATGGAATGTCCTCTGGTCAGCAATGAACAACCTTCTAGTTCACGCAAAGCCTAACCATGCTACCATTCCTGCTCTCGAATTTCTATAAAAATTTCCATTTCTTCATTAATCATTCCAATAAAAACCATTTAATGAACAAGCCCAGATGAAATTGAAGTTCTCCAATCATATTGAATGAGAAGTTCTTTAATCATGCTTAATCATTTACTTGTTTTTTTTTTACCTTGATCACTCCCAAATAATATTTGACTAAGATTGCTTAATTGTAAGCCTGGCTTATTCCAAAAATAGTGGACATTTTTCTAAGATGAACAGGTCCTACTGAAAATTTGTCCTCCCTCATTTTATCAAAGGCTTTTGTGTGATGACTGAAAAAAGACAGCAGAAGATGATTTGGAGAATTAAAGGAGCAGAAAGAAACTAACTACCTGTTAGATTCAAGAGCCTTTATAGACATTATGAAAAAAAAAGTGACTGGTACTTTTCCACTTTCTACACACAATATCCACAATATCATTTCTTTACATAGAAAAAAAATTTTTTTTTCAACAGAAAAGGTAGCTGCACCTTAGGAAGGTAAAAAAATAGGAACCTGTTGTTTTTAGGGCCCTATATGTGGGGGGAAGACTTCTTAAAAACAGAAAATTTTTAAATTCTTTCTTAAACAGTCTATAGCAACAAGAAAGTATAGCTTCTGTCCTAACATTTCCCTGTAAGAGAAATAAAGTACAACAGTTTTAAGGCCATTATACTGTGTAGTGTAAAGACATTTCAAAATTAGGTCCTGTTTTGTGGCTGTGATGAACTCGTGCATTCTTTCAGCACGAGGCATCCAAGGAAGAGATGCCCAGAGTGCTTTCTGCACCGCTGAAAACCTCCCAAGCAACAGCAAGTAAAAATAAATCTTCACAGCCCAAGTGCAGAGCTCTGAATTTCCAGGATGCCTTTTATACCAAGCAGTTCAACAGCAGGCTTTAGTCAGAAATTCTAGCACAATTAGGATTTTGTTAACTCTCTTCCCATCAGCTATTAAGCATCCTGTATAGCGTTGTTTTTTGTTTTTATTTAGATAGATTTTGTAGTTAAACAGCATTATACAGTTTCACTCCTCACCAGTCTTCTAAGGTTAGGCTCATTGGAATATATCACAAAAAAAGTAAATTATAATAAGACTTACCTTCCATTCTTGTTTTTAGACACATTAGAATTTACATCAGTTAAAATTTTCATGTCCTGGTCTCTATAGGGAAAAAAAACAAAAATAGAAACAAAACAAACAACAATGTGTAATATGGGACATTGAAAATGTGACATTGTGTTATTTGATTGTACAACTCAAATATGACAGCCTGGAATGAATATTTTGGAAGGTTTGGGAAATCTGGTCTGAGGAGAAACAACTGATTTATATTCACATTTAGCTAACAGTGAATGAGCACTGACTCTGTGTCACAGAGCTCTGACTGTGCATTCTCACATGGATTATGTCATTCAGGTCTCACAAAATCCTGTGGGACAGCATCTAGGGCTCAGGAAGACTAAGTGAGTTTTCCAAGGTCAATTAACTAATTTGTAAAAGAGTCAAGATTTGAGGCCAAGCCACCTGCCCATCTGAAATCAGTTCTTGGATATTTAATTAGAGACTCCATTCTGGCTTTCCAGATCACAGAAACATGAGAAGTCAACCAAATGTTTGAATAAGCTATTTATAATGTGGAGAATAACTGGGAATATTAGATTCTGAAATCTTGGGCTGTAGGAATGATTTGAAAGCAATTTCATGATATTCAAAGTCCTCTGGTATGCTATTTATATATTTGGTATATATTTGGTATATATTTGGTAGTTATATATTTGGTATAACACAGGTAGGTCCTGAATTTTTTTTTTTTTCATGAGTTTGGAAAACCCTTTGGCACGTACCCTAGGGGTTAGGAGCATTGTTTTAGGAATCAGAACGAGGCCATCTCTTCCCCCAGCTTCTAGGGCAAGTTCATCAACCTTTCTAAGCTTCCTTTTGTAAACTGGGATAATAATATAGAATCTCATAATGTTGTGTTAAGAATGAATGAGTTAATAAAACTTGTGGCACAATGACTCCAGTTGGGGTGAACTGAATACACATAAATAAATGATAGTTAATGGAAGTGCAGTGACCGAGGTTCTATTGATTTTGAAATTTTGAGGGACTGCCTTTTCATTTTGATTTTTGTCCTAATTTTTCTCAGCTTTGGAATTAACCCTAGTTTTTATAAATTTCCTTTCTCATGATCCTGAGTAGCAGATTTAAAAAGGGTTATTATATATAGAATCAGTGTTTCAACTCTCACAAAATTAATATTGAAAAGGAGGAAAAACACTATACATAAAAAGCTCTCATATTTATGTGGAGTGAGAATTAAAACTCTTTTTATATAACACCCAAACCATCAATAATTGATACATCTTCAAATTAGGCAGCATTCCAAAGTTACAGTTAAACCTCACACTTAAAATATGAGCTGCACATTTTTGAAAGTGTAGAGATTAGTTATATTATTTTTTAATGTGAGTTCCAGTAGAAAATATGCTAATTAACATACATAACAAGTACAGGATTTCAGAAGTAGCTCAGAAGTATCAGAAACATTTGATTCTGCAGTCTGAATGATGTAAAAATTCAAAACTGAATTCTTCAATATAACCTTGAGATCTGTGCAAGGAAACCACCCAGATCTCGCCCTTCAAATTGAGATATGGAGATACAGGCTTCACATCCGCCTAACCTGATGGTCCTTCATGAATTTTTAAAGCCACCTTTTGACCTTTGGGGTCACTGTACTGTCTTAATTAATAGCCTAGACATTAAGAGATCTTCCCTTTAACATTTTTAAATAGTAGTTTACTAAATACTTGGAGATAATGGAATAAAATTAAATAGGAATATCTTGGTGTTCCATAATTCAGCTTCCTAGGAATGTTGAACTGGAATGGGCAGCAGTGGTCAATAATGAGAGATCACTGGGAAATGTGAACTTGGGGGAATTAGGATTTTGTCCAGGAAGTGATTACCTTTAAGGCAGTCAGCTCCACCCACATCTAGGTACATCGTGTGCCATGGCCGTGTAGAAAAAGTTCAGTAAAGCCAGCAATGGACATTTCACCTCCATTGGTGTCAATCACCTAGAACCTGCCTTATCACCCCTAAATTACATGTTTCTTTTTTCACACAGCTCCCAACTTTGGTTTTGCTTCTTTACTTTGGGATATTCTTATGGGTTGAATTATGCCTCATAATTATCCAAAACTTTGGACTCAGACACACACAGATGGAAGACAATGTGAAGACACAGGGTGAAAGCAGCGTGAAAGCCACAGAGAGAGGCCTGGAACAGACCTTCCTCTGAGCCTTCAGAAGAAACCAGCCCTACTGACATCCTGATCTTAGACTTCTAGCCTCCAGAACTGTAAGAAAATAAATTTCTGTTTTAAGCCACCCAGTCTGTGGTACTTGTTGTAGCAGCCCTCAGAAACTAATACAGATGTGCTTCTTTCCTCACGACATGATTACACTTACTTCGTCAGCCTGATGCCTGACAATCTCACTCCTTCTGGCACTTTCCATTCCCCCAACCCCTGCTCCAGGACTCAAGCCCTTTTGGACCCTAACTATTGTGGTAGAGTGGGAATGGGTTTGGACCTGAGGAAGGAGGAGAAACCAGAATGTTACATCTCCAACAACTACAGGTAGATAACTCAGCACTTTAACCTGTGCGCACCTTTAAAGAAGCACACTCCCAAAGCGGCATGATTGTGAATCATCGAATAAACCACCTTATTGGTGGGTTCATAGATTTTTTTGTTGTTTTATTGGGTAGTATCACATATCAAGCTTAGTAGCATGAATTATAAGATTCAATTCTGAATAACATACTAATATTTAAAGCAAGATAGAAAGTGGCAGATTTTGAAAAGTACAAAATGTGCATTTGCTTTGGTTGTTTGCAGTGACTGATGTCATCAGATTCGAAAATCCAGTAAAAGAAGTTCAGATTGCCTATAAACTTCCCAATTTGAATGATATAAAAATAAATTTTTATTCTTTAATTAAGACCACATCTATTGCTTCATGTCTTTTACACTGTGGTAGAAGATGAAGAGCTGTGAGTCAAAGTGTGAAAAATAGATTTTTATAGAAGCCCAGCCAAATGCTGCAGGGTTGAGTAAAGGCGTGATTCCAAACTCTTTCCACAGCAGTTTCAGTGAAAGGAAGACCTTGCAATTTTATACATTTATAAGTGGTTGGAATTAACTCTAAGGAAGTTCTCTGTGGATATAGTAAGAAATGCTAAAAAGAATTTTTGTTAACCATTGCAACTGAAAATGCTTTTTTAAATGTAAATTTCAAAATGTTTGGGGGAAAATGAGTTATCTGTTACATAGAATCATGGCACAGAATTCGAATGTAAGCATTTATCCTTATCATAATAATGTAATTAATTTTCCTTCAACCCATTAAGGAATATAATACCCCCTTACAGAGCAGATTATGGGGGAAAAAAATAGAGATTCTGGGGACCAAGGTATAATTACATCTGTTATGTAACTTTCCCTAGGATAGGCTCACATGAGAGGAAGTTATCAGCTCCCTCCCAACTGCTCTTCCTTTCTTATGAGGGCGTGGGAGGTATTTATTAAAAACCACAATATGTTTCTCTCTCTACAGCTTACTTAAATTGTTTTAGTGAGATAGCAAACACATTTGCAAAATTAAGAGCCTCCATATAAAAAATTTACTATGGTATTTCTTTTATGCCAAGAACTAAATCCTAGGCATTAAGCTTTAGTTCAAAAGGAATATTTGTCTTTCTGAAAGGAGTATAGAATACAGTGAGATAACTAGTATAATTCCTCAACTCTACTGACATAGCAAAATAGGCCCAGCTTTATATATATTTATAGGCCTTTTCAGTGAGGGAGTCTTAAAGCTTTTATATGAAATGAATAGGCCCATAGAGAAATTGGACAATTTAGGTATTTTAAATACAAGATGTGAACAGGAATTTTAGTGGCTCTCATTCACCACGGTTCATTGACATTATGTCATGAGCAAGAGAAAGTCATTGGCTTATGCAATGAACCCATCATTGAATATCAGATTTCTTCAGTCTGGTTTCACTCATGAGGGCTCAGAATGTTAGCTGGAAAGCAATAGGCTTTATGGAGGTGGAAGGTCAAAAGTTCTTGATTAGTTTGGGATTTAGCATTTTAGTCATAGAATATTTGGTAAGCACCTAACGTGCTATGCACTATAAATAAAGAAATGATCGAGATGGGCCCAATCCCTACCCTTAAAAATCTTACAGTTGGAGAGAGAATTAAATAACAATTCCCTCTATGAGACAACTACTAAGGGACGGGCAGGGCGGAGAGCTTGCAAGCGTTGAGAAGAAGCACTTAGTGCAGATGTGTAGGTTGAAGGCTTCCCAGAGCCAGAATGAGAGACCCCTAAACTGAGACCTAAAGGAGAATAGACGTGATCCATGAGAGAAGGAGGAAGGAAGAATGAGGAGTGTGCAGGTCAGAGGGATGTGGCTGGGGTTTGCTTATGAGTGGAGAGTAGTAGGAGATGGGGCAGGAGAGCTGTGGAGGTAGGATCAGGTGCGCTTTGGAAACCAGGTTGAGAAGTATGGCCATCACAGAAAGCCACTGAAGGATTTAGCTAGATGAGCAATGTGATCAGATTTGCATTTTAGGAAGATCATTCTACAGTGCAGCAAATGGATGAAAGGGCAGAAGGCAAGACTGGTGGCAGAGGGATCAGTTAGGAGACTGAAGAGTAGTCTAGACACAGTAAGTGGAGATGATGAAGGTCTCAGTTCCTAAGATAGAAGCATCCAAAGTGACCTATTGTTTATGGAGAATGAAGCACCGGACAGGGTCAAAGAGTCAAGGTTACCACCCTACCCCACACCCCAACCCCTTGCAGCTTTCTGTCTTGAGCAGAAATATGAGAAATACACAGTAGGAAGACTGGAAGGACCTCCTCTCTTGGAATACTAAAACTTGGATGTGTGTGCCTTAGTAAATACGAAGCCCTTAAGATGGTGGAAGTATAATACTGTGAATAGTAAGGAATATTTTTTTCTACTTCAGATGAAGGATGCCTTGTCTAACTGTAAAGGCCTCAAGTTCACTAGATGTTTTTCAATGTTCATTTGGGAGCAGCACTTTATAGGCTACAGGTAACTGAATATCTCTAATGTTGGTTCATGAAAATGTGAAAGTGTTAACGCCAAAAGCCATGCAGTTGCTCCCTAAATGAACATTCTGGGCACATCTGCATTTGTTCAGGTTGTTGGGTTCCTAGAAGGAGCTCAGGGACACCTGCTTAGATTCTGATCGATGACTGAAGTTTATTCCACCCCTAACTGTGAATTAAATATATAGCTGCTAGAAATGTCAGCAGTCACATTAAAAAGAACTGTGATGCACTGCTGTTGCGCTATTAAATGATCGGTGCTCATGTCACACTGAACTGGATGTAAAAGTGCCTTGTGGCTGTTATTCCTACCGGGAGGCTGTTTAAAATGCCCTCTCTCTTTACCCATTAAAATCAAGGGGGCAGCATAGATACATTATAGAAACAAGTGGATGAGCCAATGGGGAAAAAAAGTCACTTTTTTCCAACAGGCAACTTTCCTGTTTGTGCTGCACTAATACTGGAACATCCCAGCTATTACCATGAAATCTGGTGTAACTACAGAGAAGAGTCAGACATTGCTTAACTTTGTGGATCAAGCTGCCATCTGAAAGCAACATGATGGCCAATATTTTTCAATTTCCTTTTATAGTAACCCCATCTGTAGAAGGAAAATGTCTTTTTATAGATATTTTATTAGAAGTTGCTGAAATATGAACTATCTTTTTATAGAATTAGCCTCTTCTAATTAATAAAAGGCATAACTCTTGAGAAGATTATCATTGTCAGCATTTGCCAGAGGGAGGCGGGAAAGGGGAGGGATAGAAGGGGAAAGTGAAAGAGAGAGAATGACACTGTATGGAAGCAGCTGCTGAGGGAGGAATAGGCTACAGTAGCCACTGTTAACTTATTCCACATGTATGCTTATTAAGTCTAACCACTTCCAACATGCTTGGGAACCTCCTAAAACTGTTACCAATAAAATTAAAAATCTGCCTCAACCCAAAGCACTCTGAGGAAATTGTTCTAATTAACAAAGAAATTTCCACACAATTATTAGGCAGGATTGACACCAAAAGTCTGCTGTTTTTTCAGCTATTAGAAAACTTCTATGAGACAAACACTTTCCTCCCTGTCATCAATAATTTTCTAGAATAAATGCATCTAATTGTAGTACTTTAACTGTGGGTGGAAGGGGGATTAGAAGGGAAGGGGCTGGGATATATGAAGGGAAGAAAGCAGAGGAGAGTCAGAGGTTTTTTAACCAGATTTTTGGATTTCTTCTAGGTAGTGACATCAGAAGGACTTGAGTTTAGATCCAGGATATGTTTTCTTTCTTGAGAAAGTTATTTTATATCTTTGAGCCAAGGTTTCCTCTTCTATAAAATAGGGCTTATGAATATATTTCTCATGGGGTAGTTGGAGGAATAAATTACTAGTCACACCATAGGTGCTCAATTAATACTACTAAGTAGCAATTGCTCTTCAACTGCCTTTGCACCTTCTTACTTCAGAGACCCCAATGCTCCAGGGATGAAATCGTATAAAGAGAAGAAACAAAAACAGGCACCAATGTAGAGAACAAAGAGCTAGGCAATGCGTGATTTACACTGTCTTCTTACTACCAGTCGGTTAAAGCATTTTCCATGGTAACTCATTTGCTTCATCCCAAAATATTAAGACTATGATTTCCAGCTATATATTTATTATGATAAAATTTCAGGTCAGCAGAACAGGTTGGTTTCTAATACAATGCACTTGGGTACATTATCTGTTACCCTATTATCTATTAATAAAATCCTATAGGTGAAAGATGTCACATAAAGATAGTGAATTTTCAGATATTTGCAGAACTCAACATGGAAGTTCAAGGTTAAAATATGCTGAATATTCTGTGAGCCCACACTAGCTGTGGGTCTGTTCATTTTGACGACTCTCTGAGGACTCTGAATATCCTTTCTGATGGTCTGCAAACATTTATATATAATAAACCACCAGTCTGGTTCAACCTCTCTGAAATATTTTTCTTCTTATTTAATTTCACTCATTTTTCTTTTCATTCCTGACCCTCTATTTCCTACAGACAACACACACTAAGTTGTTTTATTGCAAATAAAGTACAAAGCTGAATCCAAAATGGTGCGATTGATTCCAGAAGAATGCACCATGTTTTCTTGCTGACAGGGGATACAAGAGCAATAAATGTGTCCTCATTTGAGCACTGAAGAAAAATAAAAGGCTTCTTTATGAGAGAGAGAGAGAGAAAGAAAATCCCTAACATAGAATATTGAGAACATGTCAAGATAGGCAAAGTCATTTACCTTTCAGTATTTCTGAAAGCTGAAGGTTTTACTTTAATAAGATTGTCTAAGCCTTGGCTGCTCAAAAAATAAAAAATAAGTTCAGATCAGGTTTTGGTTGTGCTAAATCAACCAAGAAACATCATAAATCTCCCCAGGGGCAACAGACAGATGAAAACATAAAATGACTGTTTATATTTGATTACCTCTGATTGCTTCTGATGACTGCAGGATTTACTTTGATGAGCTCAAGATCCTGGTTTCTTTAAATGGAAAAATTAAAGACTGCAGGTTAGTTATAAACTTCCTTTGGTAAGATCATTGAGGTCATAAAACTCAGTGAAATAATAGTGAAACAAAATATTCTTCCCGACCAAAGCACAAAAATTAATATAATTCTATTACCTTTGGTTGTTGGTGAGTGTTTCAGGATTCACTTTGATGAGCTTATGAAGATCTTCATTTCTTTAAATGGAAAAAAATTTAAAGCAGCTTGGATTAGAGATAATACGGATTTAGGTTGGCTGGAATCGGAAGAAGGATTAGCTATTTTGTAGCATGAAACATATTGGTTTGGCATAAAACAGCCTTGAAACAAGTTTTCTAATCAACTCAGGTGAGGATGAATTATGATTGATTTGAGGGAAAATTACTCTTTATGTATTTTCTTGCCAGAGCGTATCTACAACGGTCTGCCAGCTAAGTGTTCACAGCAAACATCTGGTATTAACAGCTTTCCACTCTGGAATGTTTTAACATTATGAAGATACAAACTGATTCTAATGTCCTTGCTATTTTTAAAATATTAACCAATTAATAATATTTTTAAAACAACAAGCTCTAAAATTGGTGTTCTCTTAAAATAAGGCTTGGCAAAGACATTTCTAGCAACCCATCAAAATTTTGAGTTTCTTTCCTTTACTGTGACTTAAAAGCTGAATTAATCTCAGTTGTTCATGGTCCCATTAGTTACATACTCCGAGAACTGTCCACTTAATATGTGAAACCCTCCAGTTCTTTTCTCAGTCACAGAAGAGTATTTCCTTCTGCCTGGTTTGCTGTCAATCACTGCCTTAGGATAATACCTTGTTTGAAGGCCTAGAAAATAGTGACTTTCCAAAGTGTTCCTCTAAACCCCTTTTTAATATTTATGCAAAGACATACAAGACAGCCTGCCCTGGCAAGAAATCATAGGCCTGATAACATTCGCTTCCCCTCCCATCTTGGACGGCCAACTGCCTGCCTCTCCCACCCGCAACAGTCCTTTTTCCTTATATAAAAATAAAATGCATTTTACTCGTCAGAAAGATTGAAACAAGGCTAAGAACTGAGGTGGAGTCATTTAGAGGTTACTCCTCAGAAAGTCTTGAGAAAGGCCTGCGGTCCCCTCATCCAGCCCTAAACCCTCCCCCAGACTGTGCTTCCCGGCTCATGGCTTCACTGGCTTTCCTCTCTTCATTACTGGCCCGGGTTTATGTGGTAGACAGAAAGCCCCCATCTCAATGTGCACATTTGGAACTATCTTCACTAAGAGTAGTCACAATGAAAGATAATCAATTGGTGTCTACAAATATTATTAAAGGCATGATTAACATATGAGAACTATCCAAGATAAAGTCTCCTTGTATAAATTGGTGCAAAATCTGTTATAATCCTGTGCCTGAAAGACAAGTCTTTATAGTGAGGTTAATTTCATCTATGAGAAGAAAAAATGCAAAGAATAAAACTTTGTAGATAATATGTTCAAAGACCATAATGTTTTAACATATATACAAGTGAATCCCAACACTTTTTAGTGTAACTATATATATTATTCATGTACCAGCATAATTTAGAATAAGCAGCATAGAAAGTGCAAACACAACCCTGAGAACTCACACTCATTAAGAAATAGGTTTTATATCACAGCCCAATATTCCCTCTTTTTAGACAGACACATACATGCACATAGTAAAACATAAATTCCATGAAATAATACACTTACTATATTAAAAAATTCTCATGTTTTCTAATCTATTTAACTCATCCTATTTAATTGGGAAACAGATGCTGATTGTCACTCAACTCACTAAATTAATTATAAGACCCTTTAATGGGTTTTGACACACAGTTTGAGAAATACTAGCTTAGAAAACATATAAATGTATGTTATATTCTGTCACTACACCTAAAAAGACAACACACTATCTAATAAACAGAGATCTCAGTAATAGTCCTGAATTGCCTTGATTGACAGCATCATGCAATTTGTCTCAATGAAGAATAACACATTTATAGACATTTTTTTCATATCCTGGAATCCCTGCAAACACAGGAACATTATATCTAAATGTTCTCCTATTCAAGTTACTACTTTCATTTATTTTTTTCAATTATTTAAAGATGTACTAAAGGGATGTATTAGAATATTTAGCTCTTATTACTTCCATGTAGTTAAGCACTTTAAAGTGCTTTGCAGTCATTTGCATATTTGTGCTATTGTCATCTATGCAGTAATCTTTCAAGTGACCCTGCAGAGCAGTGAAGGACACCTCCTGACTGTCCCATGGTAAGGGTAACAAACTGAGTTTTAGAGCCCCTGTTGTTTCCTAAAATGCTTAATCAACTTTCCTTTGGCTTAAGAGCTAAATCCTTGTGCTGCAGTTTTAAAGAACAGGGGTTGGGTTGGGAGTGAGAAGGACTCACAGAAGAGTCTGAGATACTTGCCCCTGGCCTCAGTCCTCTCATCCGTAAAATGCAACTGGATGGGATCATCTCTAAGGCTCTGCTCATCTCTAACATCTCTACTACTAGGACACGATGAATTTGAGTTTGACGGTGTGTCATGCTTATTAAATTAGCTATTCAATGTCTCCTTTTCTTTTTTAAATGCAACATACTGACAATACTTCCTATATTCAGCAAGTAGCATGTGAGTGTTCCAAAGTGTAATATACTAAATTGACAACCTATTATTGTCTTGGAGTAACATCTCTGTGCCCTCAGCACATAATTAGCTTTAATCTACAATAATTGCATGCTGTTAATAAGATTGAGTATGTCTACTGAATTCTCTTTTTGGCACCCATGGCCTATAATTATACCTAATGTGCAACTAAGGATACCTAGTTGTAAGCTTCAAACCCAGTAGGTGCTTAGTAATTATTCACTGCCTAACAGATCACAGGACTACTGTAAGTCTTCTACTAGTTTTCTCTGTGGCCCTGGTCAAATCACTTAACCTTTCTGATTCTTAATGTCCTCTTCTGTAAATTGAATAGGTTCTACTGAAACAGCAGTTTTGGATATTGTTTAAACTAATGGAGCTATGAGTTGTCTGAGGTTCATTCCTTCCATCTCCAAAATTTTGCAATATTTATGTGTACCAACTACATTAAAAAAGGGAAATCATGAAAACATTCTTCAAATATATACATATGCATATATATATTATAGTAGTGTGTAATTATATACAAATTTTCATAACCAGAGACAAAAAGTAAATTCATTTTACAGATATTAAAAGAATTATCGAATTTTAGATCCATAACTTTGCTGAGGGCAACAACCCATTTAAGAAACAATTAACTTCACACAATTTCCACTGACTACCAGAAAACACATGTATTTTTTTCCCATATTCAAAAATGGGGAAATAGTATTGTTAGTGGTGAATCTACTGGAGTGTCTAGGTGTGTTTTATTTTTATACAACAATCATTAAGAAATTTTCACCAGGTCTAAAGACAAAGGCATCAACATCAATACTACAAACAAAATAAAACATAAACAGCACGTAAACTAGCGATATTCCTACCACAGCCACTCCCTTCAATTATTTTTATTTAAGGCTGAAAAAGTGAAGCCACCACCATACATTTTTTTCAGCTGCCCTCTTTCTTGCTAGGAACAAATAACATAGTTACATATCTGTTTCCCAGACACATATGAAAATTGTGATTATTTTTCAAGACAAACTCAATTTGCCCACAGAATGATTAAAAGTCATTTATATTCATCTTGTATTCATATTAGGGAGAAACAAAACAAATAAATAACAATCTCCTTACCCAGCCATGTTTTTGACAGCTTTGGGGCTTACATTAATAAGTTCAGCAAGACCTTCTTCACTGCTAAAACAAAATAATTAAATTCAGTTGGAAATTAGCACATTTTATGACTGGCATTTTTTTCTTTTGTCACATGTGAAACATACAATGGGAACATAGATAAAAAGGTAAGTTTACTGAGTTTCTACCTTATAAAATTTAGAAATCCTCAAAATAAACCCCGTGAGGTAGATATTCCCCTTCCAAATAAAGAAACAGAACTTCATAGAAGTTGGGCACGCCCTGGGGCCAGGTATCTATGAAATGAATGATGGTGAACCAGGATTGAAATCATAGCAACTGGACCCAAACTTCTCCCTAAGTTCACAATAATTCCTTACATCCTCACAATGTTTTTCGTCAACATTATCACCACAATAATTCTGCTAAGTAAATTGAAATTACTCTGTCATACTTAACTTTTGGTTCAGTTTATAATGGGTCTTGATTTCTCAAGAGGACAGAATCATATTCAATCTTATGGCAAAAATACTCTAACCAAATATGAGAATATTATGCCACCAACTTCCTCACAAGTCATTTAAAAATTAATCTGGGTTTGTGAAAGAGTAGAAAGTCAACATTCTTTGGTTTGTTCAGTTTTACAAACTTATTATTATTTACTATAAATTTACAGTACAATCTAGTTGCACTATTATTATGTCAAACTGAATTTCCCATGTAGTAATTATACAAAATTAGCTTTAGTGTTATAATGAAATAAATTGAAGCAATAATAAAAGAAGAATCTATCTAGCATTATTACATACAAACAAATCAATTTGTTCTCTTTTTTTTTACTGTCCTTTCAAAATAATTAATCTTATTTTTTGGCAGAAATTGGAGACTTGCTTAGGAGCCTTCAATAATCTTAATAAGCCTAGTTTTGTTTGATGAGGGAATTGATTTGATGAGATTGTCCAGGTTTTGGTTCCTACTAAAGTGTTATGTTGCAACAGCTGATAAATTCAATTAAAGCCAATAATAATTTGTACAACTTTCAACCTTAATATTGAGCTAAGTGAGTGTTGCTAATTTAAAACTTCATCATTACTTGAATTCTCTTTCTAGCCCTATGTAAAAGCATGTGGCTACAATCAATTCATTTCTTACAGAACTATGTATGTGAGAATTAATTTAGTTTTATTCTGATTTCTTTCTAGATCACCTCAAATTTAAATTGATCTTAAACTCCTTATTTTCCACATTCTATTTGTAGAATTAACATTTAGAACATTTTTGGAGGTTGTAATGAACAAAAGAGAAATACGAAATTCATTACTTCCATGTGTTGCTTCCCTACCCTCCAAAATAAAACAAAATAAAAAAACCCTAGGATTTAAAAAAAATGTTATTTCCTGATTTTAAGATATGCAGGTAATATCATAATGTAGATATATAATATTGAAGCAATTTTAAGATATTAATCAAATCACTCAGAATCACACTTTGTACAATGCTAAGTCAGAACAAGCAATATATATATATTCCATATATATATATTCTAAACACATGTGCAATCATAGCTCTAAAGGGACATATCTATTATCACACTGGGCTCTTATACCAACCCTAAAACCAAAAGGCTTGAGGAAGAAACCTAATTTGTATATCTTATTTTTGAAAAATATATTATATATATTAAAGAGAAAAAACCCCAGAAAGGTTTATATCACTTTCTATGACCTATAAACTAATTTAACCTATAAACCTATAAACTAATTTTATCATGTACATATCCTCCAATGTAAATGATTGCATTCTATTATATTGAACTATAAGAAATTGACATTTTGTGAGACAAAAACGGTGGAAGTCAGTAATCTCATAAGGTTCAACCTAAGAAGATAATTTATTTGACATCTTATTTAAATTAAACAGGGAGTGATGGTATGGGGACAATGAAGAAAAAAGTAGTAATGGTAAAAGTGATGCCCACAGATAATATATCTAGTGAGTATTTGAGCACTAAGTGCTCTGTAAGCCTGATCTCATCTAGGTTTTCTACTATATCATGAAGAAGTTAACTCTTACAATCCCCACTTTACAGACAGAAAAACTAAGGCCTAAAGGGGATTAAATTATTTATCCAAGACTACACAGATAGTTTTTTCTGAACTCAGAAATTTTACTACCATGTGGAAGAGATGGATACATGGCCAAATACAATACACGGTAGCATGTGGGTGCTGAAATACAAGCTCAAATACCGTACAGGAAATGTCATATAATTAAGACCATCTTCACCTTTAGAAACTAAGTCATCATGGAAGAGGAACAGGGGATATTTGTATTTCACTAAATCTTAATCTGTAAAGTATTATATAGTCTCTGGATTCAGCATCTGATCCTCAGACAATGACAGTAATATTATGATGAACAAAATTTAAAGATAATTTAACATTAAATATTCCGATGAAAGAGCTATGAAATCTTTGGGTAACCATAGGTGAATGAAATGACATATGCAAAGGGTGGGGGGATGGTTGGCGGCAGCAGCTGCGTCTAGGAAGCACACCCCCACACTCAAAGTTGACCCTCCTCTCTCACCCACATGAAATACTATCTAGTCCAGGGGTCAGCAAACTCTGGTCCTCAAGCTAAATCCAGCCTGTAGTTTGGTTTTGTAAATAAAGCTTTATTGGAACACAGCAAGCACTAAGTGCTCTGTAAGCCTGATCTCATCTAGGTTTTCTACTATATCATGAAGAAGTTAACTCTTACAATCCCCACTTTACAGACAGAAAAACTAAGGCCTAAAGGGGATTAAATTATTTATCCAAGACTACACAGATAGTTTTTTCTGAACTCAGAAATTTTACTACCATGTGGAAGAGATGGATACATGGCCAAATACAATACACGGTAGCATGTGGGTGCTGAAATACAAGCTCAAATACCGTACAGGAAATGTCATATAATTAAGACCATCTTCACCTTTAGAAACTAAGTCATCATGGAAGAGGAACAGGGGATATTTGTATTTCACTAAATCTTAATCTGTAAGGTATTATATAGTCTCTGGATTCAGCATCTGATCCTCAGACAATGACAGTAATATTATGATGAACAAAATTTAAAGATAATTTAACATTAAATATTCCGATGAAAGAGCTATGAAATCTTTGGGTAACCATAGGTGAATGAAATGACATATGCAAAGGGTGGGGGGATGGTTGGCGGCAGCAGCTGCGTCTAGGAAGCACACCCCCACACTCAAAGTTGACCCTCCTCTCTCACCCACATGAAATACTATCTAGTCCAGGGGTCAGCAAACTCTGGTCCTCAAGCTAAATCCAGCCTGTAGTTTGGTTTTGTAAATAAAGCTTTATTGGAACACAGCTACAACGATTCATTTACAATGTACTGCCTGTGCCTGCTGGATGACTAGTTAAAACAGAGACTGTGTTGGCCCCCCCAAAACCTGAAATATCTACTATCTAGCCCTTAAAGCAAAAGTTGGTGACCCCAGATCTAGTCTAATTAACTACATGATAGCTACCTTCTGTAAAAATAGAGAGCATTTCTATATGCAAAATAAGATAGGAAATCTGTCAGAAAGAAGATATATACTTTGGTATCTTATGTATTTAACTCATATGCAAACTAGCATAACAATATCTGTGTATAGCTTCACGGCTTTGTCATGTCTCTATTTATTTAACGTGATGGGCCTCAGAGAAAACTTTCTCTCTATAAAGACAAATGTCATTCTTTGTATTCTTTGTTATTTTGACGAACTGAGTATAATTTTTGAAAATGACCTCCCAACTCCAGGGACTGTTTGAGTAGTAGACAGTAAGAGGAGAGGGAATAAATGATGGAGGATGAAGGAAGAACTTTCCTTCTTCATATGAAGACCTTCCTGTAGCCTGCTCAACTCCAAGGAGTTGTTTTGGTGTGATGTTTTAGCTCATGGCGAATCCCTTTTCATTCTGTGGAAATCCAAGCATGGAACAGAAGTTCCATACTGATATGAGATAATACAAGGAATTCTTTCTCTTCCACTGAAGCCCACAGCGAGGGAGCCCTGAGGAAGGACTTGCACACCAGGTTTCTGACACAGAGCTGTTAATTTTGGGAACTGTCAAAAGCTTTATCTATGGTGGGGGGGGGACAATGAATTTTATCATGTTTTTTAAGTTGAATGGAAAGTAAGGGAGTGATAGAAGAGTTCCATAAACCTTACCCTTGGTTAGTTCTGCTTTTTTCAGGAGCCACTTTGATGAGGCTGTCAAAACTTTGACCCCTTTAAAACATGGAAGAAATGATCAGATCAGTGGTAAATACACATCATGTGGTTGCAAACTGAGAAACATTTTTATTATAAAAATATTTTATAAAATATTTACTAAAAGAGAGATCATCTCAAAAGGTTGGAGTTTTTCAGTTACTATGGACATACGTTTTACATTCTATATATTATATATGCTATATTATATACACTAGAACTGCATAGAAATAATACAATAACTAGTGGTTTTAGAGACAATTTATTATGTGCCAGGCACTGTTCTAAGTGGTTTACATATACAATTTAACCTTCACATCAGTCATTTGACATAGGAGGTATTATCATCCCAATTGCAAGAACAGAAAACCTGAGACACTGAGGGATTAAGTTTTCCCACATGGTCAGTAGTGGAAGGGCTGGAATGTAAAGCAACGTAATCTAACTTCATGATGCATGCACTTTCCGTGACCCCATCTTCTTGGAACTTAGCAACTTAGCTTTGCAAGACACCAGTCAGCACCTGGTCCAGTTTTCTCACTTGGAGGATAAGCAAACTAAAAAAGGGGAAGTGACCCGCTGTATTTCGCAGTTAGTGAAGGCACAGCCAGGCCCAGACCCATACCTACAGGCTCCTGTCTAGTTGTCCTTCCCCTCTCCTGCGCCATCCTCTGGTTAAGACAGATAAGCAAGTCAACAAATTAAGTGCCTATCCTGGGAAAACAACTGTGTATTTAATTAATGAAAGGGTACTTCCATTATATTAGAACTCAGTTGACTGAAATTTAGATAGGAGGTTGCAGAGGTCACATGGCTTTTCTCAAACTATCATTGAGTTCAGTGTCAGTCTGCAGAAACGATCATTTCAGTATGTGTTTAAGCATTTATTAGTGTGATACAATTAAAAGAATGACATGTTAACTCTTACCTGTGCCCGTTTTTTTCTGTTTTTGGATCCACTTTGATGAGGCTATCAAGGTTGTTGGAACTTTAAACGAAAAAGAAAATAAAACACAAGTAAAAATGGAATTAAGTCAAGTATTTATTTAAAGCATATATGCACTCAAGATGAATTTTACTATTAAGTTTTGATAAGAATGAATACTAGTCTATGCTGTTCATTTAAAAGAGAAAAAATTTTGACCTCTATTCAAATCATTGGTATGTTGGCTCAGTTTCCCATTTACCCTTGAAACAAAACCATAAAACTAGGGCAAGATAGAGTTTTAAAAAAACAATTCAGGAACTATGTGATGATTTGCCAAAAATTCTCACCTGGCCCCTCTAAGTATTACATCTATAGCTATAACTAAACTATATTTTGTTTATAATTTCCATTTGAAGTGACTATTTGCCTTACAGCGATTTTATACCCATTAATTGACTTGATTCTTACAACAATCAAGGAACAAAGATGGAACAGACATTATAATTTTCATTTTACAACTAAAGCAGGCTCAGCAACAAGTGTCAAGTGTTCAAGGGACTTGCTCAAAGGCACCCAGCTGGGAAGTAGTAGAGTTCAGACTTCCTGATTCCCATCTAAAGATATTTCAATACAGCTTTTCTGATAGAGTACCACAAATTGATGTAGACAGGGAAGGAAGAAAGATAAGATATAATATTTACCCTGGGTTACTTCTGTTTACTTTAGGGGTCATTTTGATGAGATTGTCAAGGCTGTGGCCCCTGTAAAACATTGAAAAAATGGTACGATTAATGATAAATTAACATCAAGTGGATAAAACAATTAAAACTCAGAAACAATATAAACAGTTACTGAGATGATGCCCAAAAGTTGAAGATTATTAATGGCGACTGTGTAGAGGGATTTATACATCTCTGAAACTCATTGAGATTTAGCATGACAATATTTTAAATTTTGGAGCCAGAAGGCCAGTAGCAAAGACTGTACTAGGACTCCATCTTTGTTAGGATTCACTTAACGCAATGCTCTTAACCTTTGCCGGGTCAACTAAACATTTCGTAATTGTCTATATACACAACTGGAATATTCCAGAAGGCACATCCTCTTACTACCAACCTCTACTATGTGGGGCTTTAAAATCAGCCTTGCAGAATCTATATTTGTAAAATTGACATTTATTAGCAGGTTTCTATTCACAACACTGGATTAAGATTAATATACAAATTTCTTAAACTCCATGATATACAACCTGGTATCTGCTTCTGGTACTTATAACTATATGTGAATACTATAAATTTGGACTAGTTGTGTTGACAACAAACTATACTAAGGTTAAAAACTATAGAGTTCTGAAATGTAAGACACATTTAACATAATATAAAACTGCATGTAGTCACTGAAAACACATCAGTACTTTGTTACCCTTTAGGATATCCTGCTTCTGATCTTAGTGGAATTTTCCTTTTCTTATGGCATCTACATGTGTTTTTCACATATGGAGCACAAGCCAGTGCTCCTCTGATCTACAGAGGATGCCACATGGGTGAAGAGCATCCACATAAGGCACTTTCATGCCCTATTTCTCCATGCTCTGTGGCCTTCCTAAGATCATATCATAAAGACTCTGAGGTTGTGTCTATTCAACATCAAAGTTACAGATACTTGGAAGCAACCAGATGTTGACTCAAGTTTTTACCAGATGTCAGAGAATGTGTATAACCAGGCCAAAAGCAGCCAAAAAATATTTGGAACTTTCTCATGTAAATAATGGAACAATTAAGCCAACAGAAACAACCATTCTTCTTCAGAATATACTTTCTTGATTTTTTTTAACGTGTAGATTTTTGCCTAAGTGAAGTATGTGATATTTGAATGCTAGAGACTGAGAAAAAAATCCCAGATTTGACTATTCAAAAAATAACACAACAGAAAACACTGTAATTTCTCCCTTGTAATGTTTGTGTTGGTTGTGGAGCTAGCTTTGATTATATTGTTAAGAACTTGATCTCCCTACACCTGTTAAATAAAGCCATATAATTGGAAAGTTATTTAAATCTCAAAGTTCATAAAGAGTGTGTGCTAATTAATGTAGTAATGTAAAAATAACACTTAGAGTTAGACTGGGTGAATCCATACCTCACAGTATTTTCAGTATTTATTCATTCTTTCAATCCACAAATAGTCATGGAAAGCCTACTCTGGGCCCCATGTTCTGGAACAGCTATGAACAACACAGAAATAGGCTTAACCTCCATGAAGCTTTTACTCTAAGTTGGGGAGAGGGGAGCAGCATGCAATCAAACACATAAATGAATGTCACAATTCCAGATGACAATAAGTGATTTAAAGACAATAAAAAGAGTAGTTGGTGCCTGTGGTGCTAGGGTTAGAGGAGGGGATGGTGACTTAGTTATAGTCCATGGTCAGAAACAACCTCTTCAAGGTGACAAAATGGGGGTAGAGTATTCCTAAAGTGGGAACAGCATCTGCAGAAGTCTAAAAGCAGGAATTATCCTAGAATAGAAAATGGATCAATTGACTGGACTTTGTTGAACAATTAAAAGACCAGCATTAAAGGTTAAAATTTTATTCTACCTGAAATGAAAGAACATTGAAGGTTTTTAATGAGGGAACATGATTTGATTTTGCTTTTAAAAGATACAAAACTTAATACCTTAATTATGTGTAGAGAAAGAAGATGACAACTTAAAGCTCCCAGGAAACATACACACACAAATAATGTAAACACACACACACACACACACACACACACACACACAGAGTAATGCTTCTATACACACGCACACAAGAGTGCACATATATACATCTGTGTATGTACGTACTCATATACATGCAAAATCACACAGATATACTTACACAAGTATTCATGTATGCACATGCATGTGTATGCATGTATGCAACCACACACATACATTTGCACAGGCACACCCATACATATTCATATATTCATGTACATATAAGCATACACATAGAAATACACATGCTTATATGCAAATACACACATGTGCATGTAAGCAAGCACATACATACCACACATACCAACATACAAAAAACAATAGATGATAACTCTAAATACTCTAAAAAAAATTTAAAGGAAAATATGGATTTTTCGTAAAGAGTCTAAGTAAATTTGTTATTTGAACAGTATCTAAATCATTAAGAAAACATAATTCACTCAGATCTTTATTATTGCTAACAATTACTTGAACTTTCTAGGTCCCAGGCATAATAGTATTATGACCTCTATTTTGGAGATGAGTAAATTGAAGCACAAGGACACAGCTAGCAATGACAGAGCCAGGATTTGAGCCCAGGTCTTCTGGACCCCCTGCTCACATTCACTACCTCAGGTTCCCCCCTGAACCACCAGGTAGCCAAGGAAGTCAGGACTCTTTTCCTCATCTACTAGTTGCAAACCTGTACAAGTCTCTAACCCACTGGGTCTTTGGGTCTCCAACCGTGTCATGCTGCTGAGAAAAGGACATCCGAACAGTGTGCACACCAGCTTTTCAGCTAGCCAACCCCTTGCCATGTGACTGGCCTGCAGGCACCAGTGACACATTTTAGAATCAACTAATAATATCATGTACTGAGTTAAATGAATGGAAAGGAGTTCAAAGGAAACCACATGGATTATTTGGTACACTGCTTTCAGCAACGTGCCAACAAGTTCAGTTTTGAATATATTCCATCTGCTTTTTAAAAAATATAAAGCAAGAGGACATAAGCTTTCCAGATTTACTTGACAGTTCATGGGTAGAACTCTTTCAGTGCAGTACTCTTTGTTAAGCTCTTCATCTTTGAACACACACTACACTACATACACATACAAATGCAATATACAATTACACAAGTACACACAGTTCATACATAAACACATCTACACATACCCACACATACTATTTATGCATCCACATACATAAGTTTTAATATATATGCACATTACTTATATGTACACACACATACATTTATATACACACACTTCTTGCACATACACACATATACTTATATATACACACATTGTGATGGTTAATTTCATGTGTTAACTTGATTGGGCCACAGAGTGTCCAGATATTTGGCCAAAGATTATTCTGGGCATGTCTGTGAAGGTGTTATGGCTTTAAAATTTGACTCTGTAGACTAAGCAAATCACATGGTCCTCCCTGGCATGGTGGGCCACGTCCAATCAGTTGAAAACCTGAATAGAACAAAAAGCCTGAATAAGAAGGGATTTTGCCTACCTGACTACTTGACTTAAGACATCGATATTCTCCTGCTTTTGGACTGGAACTTAAACCATCAGCTTTCCTAGTTCACAGGCATTCAGACTTGGGCTGGACCTACACAATTGGTTCTGCAAGGTCCCAACCTGCCAGCTACAGCTCTTGGGACTTAGCCTCCATGAGGGCATGAGTCAATTCCTTATAAAATGAATCTCTCTCTCTATAGATAGATAGATAGATAGACAGACAGATATACTTATATATGTGTATGTATGTATCTATATATCTATACACCTCTCTCTCTAGGAGGTAGATATATATAGATATATAGATATATACATACATACCTCTCTCTCTCTCTCTATATATATATATATATATATACACATACATATATATACACACATACACACACACACATACACACACACACGTATACACATCCCATTGTTTCTGTTTCTCTGGAGAACCTAATTAATACACACATACATTTATACCCACACATTTATATATGTACACTACTTACATACTTATATGTACACAAATACATATATACATACACACGCTATTTACATATGCACACATATATACACTTATACACACACATACACACACACACACACATATATATATATATATATACACAAAGAAAGAAATTTAGCTCAATAGAGAAGGTCAGTCAAATTCCCATTTAATTTCTCAAAATCTATTGATAGCAAACTTCACCCAAAAATAAAATGCAGGAGATCATTTCTGTGTATCACTTATATACAACTATTTAATATGATGTGTTCAGGGAAAAGAGAGTTCAGTTTTGGTTTGAATTTCAGTTTCTTCTGAATATAAGCACTCACAATTCCAATCTGCTTATAAATGCCAAAGGGAAGAAAAAGCTTCACATGTCTTACCTCTTGATACTTGTATTTGTTTCAGGATTCACTTTGGTAAGTCCATTGGGGTCTTGTTTTCTTTGAATAAGGAAGTGAGGTTTATTGAATGTCATTAAAATAAAGCAAAATGGACAGTGATTGGAAAAATTAAGTGGTAAATAAACACGTTCTCTGTCAATGTTAACTTTTAAAGCTCCAAATGAAAATGAAAATTCTCTTACATCTTCAGCTGAACATCCTTTACGGTTCCTTATTTGTTAACAAGAAATATATGACTTATTTGCTATGTTCTCAAAAATGAATAAATGTAAAACTTGTTAGTCAACAAAAGTCAGTTTTGCACTCAGAAAAATTTTCTTACAATACCCCGAATGGACGGCACTGAAGTAATATGTTTGATTAAGTCCTCTACTGAATCTAGACAGAATATAAGTTTTTACTTAACAAATCATATATTGTTTCCTGTTTTGTTTTTAATAATAATATTAATAGTACTACTAACTTAACAGTATTAAAAATAAAAAGCATATATATGTCTTTATATAAATTCAACTATTCCCCCAAAATAAGCCTTTTAAAATATAACTAGATTATCATGAATACAAGGAGCAAGAGAAAACACCTTGCATAATAGGAAAATAAATGAATTAATGACCCACTTCTCAAGGAGATACATGCCACCCCACTAAAATTGTTGAGTAATATCAAAGAAGCATAAGCTGAACTCAGAGGGACAACAGAGGATGACAGAGATGTTGTGATTGTGTACTGATGCCATATCCATGTAGCCCTGAAGAAGAGAAAAAGTGATGGGGTGTCCTCACTCCTGGGAAATGCACCTCCACCTGGGCTACCTCCTGGGACCACCATCCTTAGAGAACTGGATTTACAAGAGTTTCAGTCAAGCCTCCCTCTGAGCTGTATTTGTCACTTTGGAGATGTATCTTGAAAATGCTGTCAAGACTGTTTTCTTCTCTGTGACTATGAATCTATTTCTGTTTTGTTTGTTCATTTGTTTTGGCTTTTTGATTCCACATGTAAGTGAAATAATATGGTATTTGTCTTTCTCTGTCTGACTTATTTCACTTAGCATAATACCTTTTAGGTCTATCCATGTAGTCACAAATGGCCCAGATTTCGTTCTTTTTTAAGGCTGAGTAAGGAAGGAAGTTCGGGGGATGGGTGAAATAGGTGAATGAGGAAAAAATTAGTGAGAATGTTTGCTATCTTGATCTGGGAGATGGTTACATGAGTGTGGACATCTGTCAAAATTCATCAAGCTGTATGCTAAGATTTGTGCATTTTATTGGCTGTATATCAATATAAAAATCTTTTTTAAAAAGCAATGCTTTCTTTAGACACAAAGAAACTCAGTTCAGCACAAAATCTCAATCACAATATAAATTAGTCACAGCGATGAAAGTACAGCATAAAAATAGTCAGTAATTCTATAACATCATCCTCTGTTGACAGAGAGTAACTACACTAGGGTGAGCACTTAATAATGTAGATAACTGTCAGATCACTATGCTGTATACTTGAAACCAATATATCATATATGAACTTATACGTCAATTAAGAAAAAGAAACTCAATTCAGAAACATCCCTAAAAATAAATCAAAGCCCAAAATCTAGAAGAATAGACAACTTATTATTAACTGGGACAATTCTTCAAAATTAAGCAATTTTATTGGGAGCAAGGAGGAAAGATCACATGGCCCACCATTGTGGTCTAATACCATGTTAATAGAATATGGTTACAAAGTTAAAATGACAGATTCTATTATCAGAGATATCAGACTTAAAGAGACTAGGAAGTCTTGCCAAGTGGTATTTTCACTTCCTTTGGAATTCACTTGGATAATGTTATCAAAGTCGTCACCTCTTTAAAAAAAAACATTTAGATCAGTTTCAAAGTATTCCCATATAAACATAAACATTTCATATTACTGATAATTCATTTAAGCTTTTGGAGGAAATTATTCTAGTGGTATTAAATTAATTTTTATCATTAAGATTGTCTACCAGTAATATTGTTAAATATATCTCTGAAATGTTATTGGACTCTATGGAAATGTAAGGTTAGACAGAATATACTGTAGACTTTCCAAAGTTAAAATCAGGGCAGCTGGGATCCCACACAAAAGACAGAAGACAGACTCAAAGATGTGACCCTCTCAATATCCTTAAGAAGATCACAAAATCAATCTGGGAGAAAATAACTGAGATTCAGAAACGTCATAGCAGTTCTCAGCCTCTGCTAGTTTTATCTGTCCTGGCATTCTTTTTGATACTCATTTCAAGACCTTGGCTTCTTTAGAAAAAAAAACATGAAAACCTCCTGTCAGTTTGGTTACATTCAATTTTTTCTGAAATTGGTACAAACAAGAATGTCACAAAAAGGGTGTCAGATGGTTCCAGGCCAAATGATCAGAAAAGATTCTGATGTAATTATTCTTAGCTTATCTTTACTAATTTCCACAGTAGTACTTGGTGTAAATCATTTTAGAAAAGCTTTCTAACATAACCTCTTACTTTATGATTTTGTCCTTTATATTTTTGAATTTAAATTTAAAGTTTGGCTCATTTTTAAATCATTTAAGAGAATACAGAAAAAGAGATGATACAGAAGGTTTTCCTGAACTTATTTCAATGCAACTCAACATGTAGCCCTATGGACATAGCATCGTCATATCCCATTGCCTACTAACTCTGATAGGTCTAAAAGTGCAACAGCTCATCTGTGACATAGGAAAGCATAACTCTCTCATTTCTCATGCGGTGAAAAAGAGAGCCCCATCACGTCTCATTTTTGTCAGCCCTTTGATTAACTTTAATAAGACTTCTGAGGCCCTGGTTTCTTTATAACATTGGAGGGGTGGAGATAAGAAGTAACAGAAAGAGAGCATGATTCAGTCTCTTATGACAACAGCTGATTTCTTATAACTTGAGTAAGATGTTATCAGTACCAAAAAGCACCAGGAGTTCTTGGACATATTTAATTCAAGGGGTTCTTCTCATGCAAAATGCTGAAGAGATATGCTAACTAATCTAATAATAAGTTCCCAACCATTACTCAAGTTACAATTAAATCAATTTAAAAGCAGAAGTTCCCTCCAGGTCTCAGCTTTTGCTTTGGCCTTGGAGGGTGAGTTGGTGAGAAACTAAATTTAACACATTTGTTGATATATTGTTTTCTTTAAGCATGAAAATCATTTACTTCTGGGGTGTAAATCAGAAGATCAACATTTTAAATATAAACACTTTGGAGATTTAGACATGTCATTTTCAGTAAAAAGTTCCAGGTTCTGAAGTATTCTTAGAAAAGTAGAAATGACTCTATGATGGCTCCATTTCTTTATGTAAGTTGATCACAACCAGTACAACTTTTACGTGTCAGTAGCTTAAAAGTATTAGGGAATATTAACAATAGCAAAGCTAGTCTCTCTCAGTTGTGCGGGTGTTTCCCTTTTCCATTTTTATCTGTCTGATTTCACTGTGATAAAACTATTGATTGACATTTTAGCTTCTTGCCATATTAGAAAACATGGAAGGAGAAAAGATGGAAGGTAAAGGAACCATGGACTCTCTACTCTGCTGATATTGGTCATTCCTGCATCAAAACCCAGTCACTACCAAGTTAGCTCATGTTATAAATCACTTATTTCCCTTGCTTTTTAGTCCACAGAATGATTTACTTGAGATGTTTATCCTGTTTTTGCTATTTTTTGCCACTTTGATGGACCTGTCTGGACTTAATTTTTAAAAGATCTGAAATGTCACCTTTTCCTATAAAACTAATAGAAGCACTCAGAGAATTGACTATTTTCTCACTTTGTCAAAAATTCACCTGTAATAATGCCTCCACATTTACATTATGATAATATATTGTTCATAAGCATTCAATGTCTGTGAGATTATTATTACCAACACTTTTCATCATATAGAAAAATATGTTGTGTTCCACATCAGAGAAAGTTGAGAATGAGTCTGCCAAGGGTGACTTGGAAAGTTGGAAGTCATACTGTGTACAGGCTGGCGCTGATAAATGAATTTTCAAGATAACCAAGACAATAGAAATAATTATCATGTTAGAGAGGAAAGTTTAATGACTAAGCAAATACAGGTAAACAATAGAGATCTCATAAATCATTACTTTTTGTCATTCTTGACTATTCTGGGATTTTCTTTAATGAAATGGTCAAGAGTTTGGTTTCATCAACAGGAAAATAGTATCAGTAACAGAAGTCAATTTTTTAGTACCTCAATAAAACTATAAGTTAACCTCTTAAATGCTATCAGTTTAGTTTTACTAATCATTTGTTAACCCTTTTTATGGTACAAAATAAATAACACCATGGCTCTTGTCATTGTGATACATACAAATACATCTCAGATATACATATGAAGTGACTCAACCAAGACTCCCCAACTGATAAGGGCCTTACTAAACTATGAAGACTTCAGTGGTGAGAGGCATGCTCCCAGCATCAAAATGTCTTAGAGTAAATATATATAGTTTATACACCAGCCTATTGTCCACTACTGGTAACAGTCAGTTAGATTTCTTTCATTTTTAGATATAAAAGGGAAGTTGGAGATCATCAAGGTCATATCCTTTATTTTATGGGATGAGGAAACAGCAGCCCCTAGAGGTTAAGTTACTTGCCCAGAGTCACCCAGATTGATGCTGGTGGTGAGCCAGCACCAAGATCTCTACCCATCTCCCGCCCCTGCTGGGGCCTATTGCACCAGCCTGCCTGACCCCTGTTCTGAGCAGGAGGAGGAAATGGCATACAGTCTAGGACACAGCCAAAGAGGCCTATAAAAGTGTCAGTCAGATCTTACCCTTTGCCTTCTTTGACTGTCCAAGTATTCATAAAAATGAGATTTTCAAGGCTTCTGGCTCTGTCAACACAAAGAAATTCAAATAAAAGACTACATGTTGAAATAAAATTGGGTGGTATCTTTAAAGGTCAGATATAATAAACATTCCTCATGAATTGCTCATTTACTCTTACTGAATGGAAGACCAGAAATCCTGAGCAATTATGTCTGAACTAAATGCACAATACTGAGAGCGCTACCCCATCTGCTAGTACATTTCCATGCCAGAGGATACATCTCCCTTCCAGCTAATGTCTGAAAGAATAAGACAAGCAATCTGGAGGACATTTTCAGGTTAGAGACAGATGAACTTACCTTTTCTCTGTTTGCTCTGCTTTAGGATTTGCTCTGAAGAGACCATCAAGACCTTGATTTCTTTAAATGTATTGAAAAAAACCTTGTCAGTGATAATAACAGTTACTTAACTCTGTAGAAACATAGACCAGTTTACATCTAAGACAGGAAATAGAAGCTGGTTAGGAAAGATGACCCACACTTCTTGAAATTGCTTTATGTCAAACAGGTGTTTTCATAGGCTCAAAATTTAAATTGCAGTAGATCTTGAAATAAAATAGAAGATGCAACCCAGGGATCCACAGATGTGGTGTTTGGATTCATGGAGTGTTTTTGTTTTTAATGTGAACCAGTGTTTACAAAGATGGCCATGACACATGGAAATCTGGCTTTTCAGGATCTCCTGCAAATGTTCCGCAAGGCTGGGCTCCACTTCTCACTTGCTAACTGACAACTACAGCTGAGAAACAGCTGGGCACGGTGGACAGGGGATCACCCTGTGTTGGGTACAGTCGGCCTCCTTCAGTCATTTACATCTGCCTGGCCTCGGTGGGTCATGGAGCCTGTGATTCTTGATCTAGTATCTCCTCTCTTTATAAATAAGGAAACTGAAAAGCAGCAATTTAAATGAATTGTAGATAGTCAATCATGTAGATTATGATGGTCAGAATGGTGCATAAAAACCTCATCACTTGATCTTCAGACCAATTAAATCATTTGACTTTTGCTTTTTTCTCCTCTTTGGTCCCTGCCCAAAGTTCATATGCAAAGTAACAGCGAGATAAAGGAAACTGCACACAACCCTCATTTACTATAATTTTTAGGGTAGGAAATTACAAACGATTTAAAATTAAAGAGATGTTATCTAAGATAACAGGTATTCTTTGTAATGGTAAAACTAAAAGCATTCAGTGACCATACCAAACTCTGTTTATACACTAATTATAAATATATAAGTTTTATATATTTGTGTTTATATATTATATATTTATATATAATATAAATATATTAATATTTCAGGAAGAGAAATGTAGTTATTTGTATAACTGCCTTACCAAGCAAGTTGAGCATAAAAATCAAGGACACTTTAATATTAGTATCTTGGGATTGTAATAACCATTCATAGCAATGATAAAATGATGATGATTTTCTGTAAGTTTTCGTCAAGATTTATAGGATACTTTTAACTATCCCAGTATGTGGGTCCTCATGCTCAAATACTGAAAAGACAAAGAAGTCACAATATGTAATTCAGTACAAAACAAAAAATAGATGTTTATAAGTCTTACCTATTCAGGCTTTTGTTCATTTTGATGACATTATCTATTTCTTTACTTTTAGAAAAGAAAAAATGAATTTCACATTAGTATAAGCCTTCCCAGAGACAAGGAGCAGTTGTTAATAGTTAAAACAACTATTTCTGAGTTATCTGAAATACAACACTTGTCCCATCTTCATCATCTATGGAAATCCTAGTTATCTTTCAAGGTTCTCCTTAATATCTCATTCTCTAAGAAATATTTACCAGCCCTCCAGCTGAATAGAGCTCCCTAAATTTTTGGAACCCAAGCAGAATTTTGCTTTCTTGCATCTCCTTTAGGGTGTGTACTTTACCATTCTTTGTGTACACAGGTCTCATGTTAATACCCCTGGCTCCCCACACATATGTGTGTGTGCACACAGACACATGTGCCACTTAAAATTTAGAACTTTTTTACATTGGCTCCTCATCAGTCTTTATAATACAGTGCTTTTCACACAGTAAATGCTTAACACAGATTTTTAATCGACTCACCAAATAGGTACATTGACTATAGATTTTATCTTTGCACAATGCACTTGCACAAAGTGTCTATTGGAAAACACTGTTCATCAGTACATCCGGATTCTTTTTTGAATTTTACTCTGACCTCATTCCAGATTAACCAAATGTACTATCTTGTTTTCATATAACTTTCTGGGTGCTTCTTCAGGAGCAGTTTGTTTAAGCTAAGTCCCTGGGTTCCAGAATATCCCTTAGAACCACAGAGCTCAGCTCTCCCTCCCAAAAAGGCGCCTCGTGGAGCTCTTGTTCCTGTCTGCCCCTCTCAGCATGGGCTCTCTTCTACTTTTCTGCCCACCCTCTTTACCTTCATTTCTCCTGCCTTCCTTATCCACTTTTTCAGTTCTCAAATCTTGCTTCTCCTTTCTTTCTGCTCTAGATTCACACATTTCCCACACTTTCTCTGTGTTCCTCTATCTTTTGAGCCACCACTGTTGTTGAACAGGCGGCCAGGTAACTCAATAGTTACACAGTTACTAAGTCAAGGATACCTGGATTCCAGTCCAGGATTCACCACTTGTTAGTTGACAACTCTGGGTATTGTCTAACCTCTTGCTGCCTCAATTTCCCACCTGAAAAATAAGAATATGGATCGTACCCACCTCAGAAAAGAAATATCAGCCTAATGAGCATAAAGTGTTTAGCATGATGCCTGGCAAATCATAAACTCTCAACTGATTTTGGTGATTAAAATAAACAGTTCCCAGTTGATTCTAAATTTCTCATTTAATAAATGCTTGCTGCATTTATTTTGTACACTACATTTACAGACACCAAGACTTTCAGCTCAGAGTTAGAGTATAGTTACTGAGTCACTTGTGTGCTTTGATGTTGCCTGGCATAATATATCACCAGAATAGTGGACTGGGACAGTCCTCACTCAGACCCTAGAAACACAGCTAATGAACAGCCATCACACAGATGAATCCTTTCAAGCAATATTATGTATTGAATGGTAGGATTGAGGGCTGAGAATAAATATTGAAATACATAAGTTGCTAACCCTGACAAGAAATCGATTAAAGTTCTGTCTATTGTGTGGGACAAATATTATCCAGTCCTTAGACACAATTCCCCATTGGTATTTTTTGTTTGAAATTCTACCTCCCAACACTGAGGCTGCAGACCTATCTGTGTTCCCAGGGAAAGAGCAAACCTAAGAATCCTGGAAATTTAGCCCCAAACCTTCCTGACTGGTGGGAGTCACAATGATGAGATTATCAGGATTTGAGGGTGCTCATGGTTATCACAAAAGAAATTAGCATAAATCATGAGAAGACACTCTGTGATAAATTAAATACAACAAAGATTGTATTCTGAATAAAGTAGCTGAGCTTTTAAAATGCCCTTCAGGTAATGAAAACTTCAGATATTAAGTTTCACCACTGCCTTTAAAATAAATTGAATGCTCTTAATCAGATACTCCACTTCATAAAGGAATATCACACAGAGCGGCTTGGATAAATAAAGCTATTTCTAGTCCCTAAGGATGGTCCACAGTAATGATATTCAAGCAATGTTGCTGCCACATACATTTCTCCTGGCCTCTACAAAGCAGCACCTTCTCCTTGCAAAGAACATGTAGCTGTGGAATCAGTGCCCCCTGACCAGACAGAGGGGTCATGGAAGTGCAACTAACTGCTGCTCTCATTGTCTGTGCTTGATTTATGCCAACCCATCACTTCCCGTCAGCATCCTTCACCTCTCTCTCCCTCAAACAACCTCACCCATCAAAACACTGTCCCATCCAGATCCCTACTAAAAACAAAATACTACCTCAAACAAAGATAAACAAATAAAATTAGAGATCTAGGTTATCTAGGTGAGAGAAGACTTGGAGAGGAACATTCAGGATACTTCCTAGAGTCCCTGCCTAGATTCTGAGCTCCTATTTTGTTTACAAATTTGCACAGAAGAGCTAAGCATCACCTCTGGATTTTTCTCCTTGGTCCTTCTGCCTGACACTGCAGTCCCTCAGAACACTCTTAGCATTGCTAAATTCTATTAGGCAAGGAAAATTTTTATAGGTAAGGGATTTCAACTATGAAATGTTTATACTCAAGGCTCACTGCTATTTAACCATACTTGGTTGGTTATATAAACACATTCTTTGCACAAAGCCTCATATCAAACTCTGCAAATGACATATGGTAAATAAGACAAAATACCTGCTCTAAGAGATTAGAGAGATAACAGAGATGAGACATTTATAGAAATGCCATGAAACAACACCAAATATGATTAGTTATTACAAAACTTTGAATAGTAGGGCTCTACTATCTTAGAGAGGCAGAATTCACATCTCACTGGGTCGCTCAGGAAAGACTTCACAGAGTAGATAATATTTTATCTGGATCTTGAAAAATAGGTAGTATTTGAATGGACTGATATGGTGGCCTTGAGGCCGGACAAGGCAGCCATGTCAATGGACTGTCATAAACAAAGGCCAAATACCTGGAAACCGTACAAAGGAAGTGGTTTAATTTGGTATTGCATGTAGGGTAAATGTAAGGGTGAAGTCAGAAATAACTCTGGAATGTTAGGCTAGAGTCAGGCCAACAAAGGCCTCGAATGAAGTTATCTGTAATTGAATGGAAAATGGGCAGCCAGTGGAGTGATGGTTCAAGCAGAATCTTGGGAAGAAAATTGGCAGTGATGATTAGTAATGGTCCAGAGATGGGAGAGACAGGAAGAGTTTAAGTAAGTCTGGAGAGTCACTCTAATAACTTATGATGGAATCCAAGAGGGTTTGAATTGTGGCGAGGCCATGTGGGGCATTTTAAACATTTAATTTAGACATGCCTGATATTATATCAAGGGGAGAAGATATGAGACAATGCAGAGTAACCCTGAAAGGTGAACTTTCCTGAATGAAAGAACAGAGAGAAGTCAGGAAATCGCTTGTGGGAAGGCAGTTGAACATGGCCTCGGACATTCTAAATGGAGCTGCTAAGGAGAAAGACAAGTAGGGATCTGGGCCAGCAACCTAAATACAGGAGTGGGGATTTGGAACAAGGTCAAAACCATCGACAGCTGAAGCAACTGGGATGTGTATAATCAGAAGACAAAGCAGCAGAAGGAGACGACCCATAAGTGTCAATGTCACCTATTTTTTAGGGACACTTATCTAGAGAGACTGATTCTTTTGTCTTTTAAATTACATATATCATAAATAGCACTGGAATTGACTTCATTTTTGGAACTTTTAAGGGTACGATTAAATATTTTTGAAACATAATGAGAAGAAAAACAGAAGCTCAAAAGCTCTGAGCTCTCACCCCTTGTCAGTTTTCTGAAGGGAAGTGGCCACCTTCACGATGTTCCCAAGATCCTGACTCCTTCAAACAATGAAAAATAAATACAAGTCAATGACAGTAGAGCTATCTTTGAAGTAGCTAAACTTTCTCATCTGTTTTCAGTGAAGAAAGCAATTTTCCATGTGCTGCTCAGTAATTACTGAGTTTAACTGAAGAACAAAACAGTCCTGTCATATCAGCTCGTGGCATGCACACACACACACGCACGCATCAGTCATTCCATCTGGGCACTGCCTCTGCCATCTAGCACTTCAGCAAAAAAACTACAGTTTCTCCTAAAGACTTGTATTGGCTGCTCCCAAGTTCTTAAAAAAGGATATGTAAATGAAAATACAATTAATGGTACAAGTAAACACAGACATATGTTCAGAAGTGTTTCCACCAGAGCCCAGGAGCATTAAGCTACATACCCAGAAAATTAAGTGATCCCTCACATGAGATGAAAGAATCTTCCTAGGCCACCAAAGGGAAAGAAAATACATTTTAAATTATAGGAGAGGTGGAACCACTGCCACATAGAGGGCTTGAATCCATGCTGGTCTCCCTCAATCTTGAGAAGGAATAATAGGAGAAGGTTTACCAGTTTCATAATATCTCATAGAGGCTTAATGGGGTTCCATGATAAAAAAAACTTTGTAGTCATGTAAGTTTGAGAGATGTAACTGACTTTTGGAGATTCAGAATATGTATATGAGTACACTGATGGTTCTGAGAAGTCCTGTGGTAGCGAATTCTATTTAACTGTATTTGCTAAATATGTTAGCCATTAAACCCTTCTTTTACAGAACATGCATTGACATCTTTTGGAACATGGGACACAATTTGGGAAATGCTGAGATAGTTTCACTTTAAGTTGTTAGGTACAAAGGAAACACGATTCTCTCCAAAGGTAAGGTATCCATGTGATGTATGTTTCAAACTGGGACTCTTCTGAGTCAAGAAAGATAATAAAAAGAAAAGAATGGAAGTTTTAAACTTGGAAAAATTGGTTTATCATAATGGTTAAGATGGTTAATGGCTAAGATGATTAATGTTTAGGATTTTTACCACAATAACAAAAATTAGTTTATCATATCAATAGATCTATCAAATAGCATCGTTTAAAATTAATTTCAAAATAGTGGTTTTTATAAAAATGTATAGAAATACAAATAAGATATATCCAAAACAAATACTAAACTAGATGGGGTGTGCAAGATAACAGACATAAATCAGGCATCAGTATGATTGTAAGCCTCTTCCTGACGATGCAGGTAGAGCTGGATGTGACCTTATTATACAGGTAATTCTAGGAAAGCTTTTATAGAACAAGTTCAATCAATTTACTGTATTCCACCTATTCATTTACACATCACTACCAACTATATCATAGACCTGTGACAAGCACTAGGAATAAAGAGGTGCTTTCTTGTCTTAAGGGATTGATTTTACTCTGTTATCATGTTCAGAAAATTTGGGTTATTTTCTTAATGTAAAGCTTAGAAAGGAAATAAAAGAATAAAATTCTTCAGGTATGTATAAAAGCATTTATTATCCACTATATTGAAGGCAGACAGAAAACTGATTTTGTCTATTTATTAATTGCTTTGTGTTTTTACGTGTTCTAATAAAGCAAACTTTATCACTTCTATAATTATATAGATACAGATCTTCATTCATATCTTATAATTCTTTCAGCAGATCTGTTGGTTTCTGTATATATACTTGGTTTAGGTGGACATATCTGCCTATATTTTTAAAGATAATATCTATTCGGTAAGAAAACACTTCCCTGTTAAATTTGAATTTCTAAGAAAACATTTACTTTCAGAAAGATCACAGTGTGTTAGAACAATAGTACTACTTGAGATAACAAACTTTAACTCTTGGTTGGCTAAAACTCAACCATCTCCTATTTGAAATTCTAAAATACAATACAGTTATTTTGTAATTTAGCCCGTCTCTTTTAATATATTTTTAACCACTGGATATATCTAGAAATATCTATTCTAAATATGTTCATGTTCATTTTGTTTAAGTCTCTAGTCATTAAGAAGGCATTTTTATACTTATCCCTATTAGTTAATGACATAATATTTTTAAATATTAGGAGTCTTTTTTAGTTATTAGGCATCAGAGGGATGAATTTTTTCTTAAAGACTTATCCCATTTGAATACTATCAAGAAATTTATTTTCAGAGCAGAAAATACATTTTTATATATCATCTCCGAAAAGATGGGAAATATTTTTACATTCCCAGTACACCTACTACATTGAAAATGACCACACTGAGTTGAGAGTTGACAGAATTAGATTTTATGTTAGGTTCTGTCACAATTTATAATACAATGCTTTTCTCTGCTCTTTCTCTAAAATCTGATTGACCTACTTACACAGTTTTGCTTATTCTTAAGAAACTATACTTAACTATTTTTTTTTACTCTTGAGGACATGTGTTAATTAACAGGAAACACTTCCCTTTCATATTCTTTCATTAAAATCAATCATCTTGCTGTGATTAAAGTAAAGTTGCTGGGCTTAAAATATGCAAGTTGTCCTAATTTTATTCTTAAGATCATTGGTGAAAGAAAGAAATTATAGTAGTAAAAATGGATTAGACCAATTCCCATGAAATTTAGTTTCTTTTGAATCTGTACAAGCTTATTGCTCTGAAGCTGCTGATTTCAGATTAGAATTTAGTTGATACTAATGCCAATTTATTTTAGCCCCCTTAAAAAAAAATCTTACTCAAATTAAGATTTAATTGCTCAATACTATAAAAGGAACAATAATGTAAGATAGAACACTGGAGAAGTTATTTTTATGAGTATAATTATAACCATTGCACAAAAGAAAAGTTATAAATCTAGTCTATATTTTTAATTAATTCAGTAAAGAAGTATTTTCTTGACTCATTAAAAAAATTATACTCTCAGCCTAACAATAAAATTTCAAAGATCCTGTGAAATGTTACTGAATACAAATTCAGCCTGGATTTTTAACTCAATAGGCTGAACACCTAATGCTACATAGCCCTGCCACTCAATTAGCATTTTCTAGCTGATGTTATTCTCTTATTGAAGGATAGTTCTAGAGTTATCTGACATGTTGTCAAAATCATCACCATCAAAAAGCAAAAATACAAAAGAATCAAAAGCAGGTAATCAAGTGGATCTTATGTAGTCAGTCTTCAGCGAGATACTCTTTTTTAAATTTCACAATAATGGATATGTGCAATGTATGTCTTGGAAAACAGTTGAAGATTATTAAACAGTTTAACAGGCACACATAGAAAGAGTTTCAGATCCCTAAATTTGTTTCTAATATTAATTAGAGAGTATCAGAGATTCAAAGTGGAAAAGCAAGTCTTTTTTTTTCTTGAATCAGAGACAATTGGAACACTTTTCAAATTTTGTGATAGTTTTGAAATAAATTACAAATTCCTCAGCTAAAACAAAACTAAAGAACAACACTAAGGTATTTCTAACATAAGGGAGGGTTTGAGCAGAAACACAAAGTTTCAAGAACGTCTTTCATCAGAAAATGTATCTCTTAATGGGAAATTGAACCAGGAGTAAATATAAACCATACATATATGTATATACACACACACACACATATATAGACACACACATACATAGTTTCTATTTGTATTATATATAATACATGCCAAATACATATATATACACACACACACACATACACACACATTTATATAGAGTGTGGTTCCCTATATATTGACTCCTAATATGTAAACTAGGGAAGACTGAGCATCAATACTTCTTGGACATGAATACTCTTCAGTTTCTATCTTGAAGGTGTATACAATGGCCTTAACTGCTAAAGGCAAACATAAATACACATTTCTACTGGCAAATAAAATGAGGAAAGCTTTACAAGTGCTTCTTTAGGGAATATGCACACAAAACATACCCATGCTTTGCACAAAACAGGTCACAACTCATTTGCTTTCATTTCCCTTGAACGTCACCACTTTGGCAGAAATCTTACCTATTATCATGTCTTAGCTGGTTAGAAGATGAAATTGGAGAACTGGGCTTTGGAGGTACTGGAGGGTGAACAGTTGGTTCCCTTTAAAACAGAAAGCAGCAGTTCACTGTTCACCATGGAAACATGGTAAATTTTAGCATCTATTAACCAAATGCATTTATTGTGTATATGGAAATACATCATACATTTTACAACCCTCATGCATAGGAAAGGTCAGAATCTATGAAGCACTAAACTTTAAAGTCAAATATTTAAATCACAGATATTTGAAAATTCATTTAACCCTATGTGCTACTATATCTAACTATAGTTCGAAATATAATATATTCTTTAAACAGCTTAATATTTTTGCTAGACTATCTAGCTCAAGTTGTGACATATTAAGTCAGAAGCACAAGAGTATAGTAAATGGTCCCTGGGAATTAACATATAAGCCTCTTTAGGAATGATTTCAACTATCAGGCTGCTACAGAAACAGCAAGAAAGGCCTCAAGATAAAGTTAGTTTGAAGCTCTTAACTAAATCTGATTTAAATACTGTCAGCACAGGCTGGTTTGATGCTAGCAAAGCAAATATATCCTGTCGGCCTAAACTTTCCAGCGAAGCCCCAAGGCTGCCTCTGTAATGGCATGATTTGATGGCCTAGGAACCAAAGGTGGGCAAATCTGTGTGTATTTTGGATGGAGTCAGCTCCTTAACCAGGGCATGTCACAGCCCCACCCCACCACTACCACCCCAAGGGTTCCTTGTTATCCTCAAGATAAATTCTAGACCTAGTAAAAGGACCTTGTGATCCCGACTCCGTGTGCCCCTCTAGCTTACACAGCATGCTGGGTGAGTGTGTAGCCTCTGGAGTCAGGATGCCTGAATTGCCAGCTGTGTGACAACGGGCTTGCTAACCTGACTCCATTTCTTCACCTATAATAAACCCTCACATAGAATTGTTAGGGTATTATCAGGATTGAATGAAAGTATGCTTTTATTTAACAAATATTTAATGGTAGCTCTGTATGCACAAGGCACTCTACAAAGTGGGTAATTTACCTTTTCTCAAAAGGCTTTCAATACACAAATAAATATACGGCAGATGTTGAAAAATACTAGGAGAAAAATGAAACAGAGTAAGAGATTATAGAGTGATGGTGTAGGAGCACTGTCTTATGTAGAATGGCCAGGGAGGGTCTTTCTGAGTGGTGAAATTTGAGCCAAGAGGTGAGCCAAGAGGCCATCAGAGGAAGAGCACCTACATACGGGTATCAGCAGCCTGGCGATGGCCTCGGGCATTTGAAACTGGATGAGATCACCAAGGGAGTGTACGTAGAAATGAAAGGAAGGTCAGGTGTTGAACTGGATCCTGCAATATGTAGATGTCAAGTATATGAGAAGGAAACAGCAAAAGACTGAAGAGAAGTGGCCAAGGAGAACAGAGAAATATGAGGGTGTGGTAGCCAGGAAGTCAAGTGAGGAGAATGTCTCAAAAAGGGAGTAATTGGCCATGCCAGATGCTACTAACAGCTCCAATAAAACAAGGACTTGTATTACCATGGTTTTGGCCATATAGTGGTCATCAGTAACCCTGATGGGTGCAGTTTTCATGGAGCAATGGTGAAAAACCTTATAGGAGTAGATTTAAGAGAAAATGAGAAGTAGAGGCATTGACGTGTACATTTTGTTTAAGGCATTTTACAAAGAGGAAGGAAGAAAGAAATAGGCAGCTGCCTGAAGGTTGACAACTAGAGGATGTAGATACGATGGTGGGACTGAGCCAGGGAAGGGTTGAACTAAGTCTATCATTCAGCCGAGTGATTGCAAAAAGAGAATGACGTCAAGGAAGTGGAAGGGTATGCAAGGAATGATTACAAAGAGGGACTGGATCTGAAACAGACATGGAGGGAAGTGAGGATATGAGGGGAGAGGGGCTACGAAAAGATGGTAGGATCAATGGATTGGTGGCTGTGGTGGGGATGCAGAATTTCTGTAATCAGAGGACTGGAGGGAGTGAGCTGTATACAGTAGATAGAGTTAGAAAATAGAAGTCAGAAAGCGAAAGCTGTGAAATTGAAATTTTGTAGTGTTTTGTGGTTACTTACAGGGACAAGATCTGAGGGTGGCTGCGATTGGATGAAGGACAAGATCATTAGAGAGGAGACCAATAAAATGAGAGGCCACGGTGGGGAAGGATCTGCTACATGGATCCATAAATCACCAAGTATCATGACAGACCTGGTATGTTTGTGAGAGACAGCGAGCCTGGTGCCAACGCCTTCAGCGAGGGAGGGTGAGTGACTCAGAGACGGCTGGGTGCCTCAAGATGGAGAGTCTAGGGAGGAGGAAGTTCTAAGTGATAGGGAGGAGTGATGAGAAGCAAACAGGATCCCTCTGTTTACTCCAGACCCCAAGATTCATGGGGTCAGAAGAGAAACAGCCCTCAGTGAGAGGAGGTTGCGGGAGCAGGGTCCTCTGGGAGAACCCAGCCCAGAGGTGGAGATCATTCAGTCAGAGACGGGACTGCAGAGTAGCGAGTGTGGATGATCATGGAGGAGACACCCACGGAGCTCCTAGGGACGGGTTTGAGAGGCTAGGATGCCACTGGCTGGGTCAGGGTCAGTGAAGCACAGAGCTCCATAGATGGTCCAGGTGACAGGAAATGATCTCAAAGGGATTCCCACAGGGATCCATGGCCCCAGGGATGGAAGATGTGATGGAATTAGTCCTGAAGATTTCTCAGCAGAGCATGGTAGTGAGTCTCTTGGGAATGGGCAGTGGAGCAACAGGTATGGAGCACGGTGGGTCTCCTGGCCCCTGTGTTGATGGTGGCCTTGAAGCCAGCAGAAGGGCATGCAAAGCGTTAGAGCACTGCCTGACTCACTGTAAATGCTCAGTCAGTGTCCAGGGCTGCAGTTATTGTTTCCACCCTAAATGAACCCAAGGCTGTAGCTATGCCAAGTCACCTGCACTCCCTGGGCCCACTGCACCATATTCTCTCCTCTCTGCCATACCTTCTCCCTTTCACCTAGATTCTTCCTTCCTGCCCTTCCGACTTTGGCTTGGGCATTACTGTCTCTAGTGGTACCCAAAACTGTTCTGTAAACGTCCCTGTCTCTCCCCACAGCACACCATCTTCCTAGCATGCATCACACTGCTCTGGATTACAAGTATTCCTTTCCTGTCTCCAGACTGGACTGAAACTCCTAAAAAGATAGCTATATTCCAAGTACTATGATTATGTATGCTGTTGGTGCCCAATAAAGATGTGTTGAAAGAGGATTGGCTGAAATTTTATTTGGTGAGGATGGAAATAGGTAAAGAAGCTGTTCCTTAGGAGAAGTTTATTGTTGATTCCCACTACTGAATACCTAGTAGGTGCCTGGTGCTCAGAATAATTATTGTGTTACTCCTGGAAGAACAAATTATATGAGAATAGCCTCTCCATCCTAGCTTAGATTTAAATTTTGCAATTAGATATTATTTTATTTATAGTGCCATCATCTTCTCTTCTCACTAAATATCACGATGTTGTCGACAATGCAATATCACTCAAGTGATAAAGTATCTTTAGTGTATCTGTGTGGATTAGCTGATTATATACTTTTCTTCCAGGAGTAGAGGAAAGGTATAAGAAGGTGGTCAGTCATGGGTCTCTCTGCACAGGGCAATGATGTCTGAGAACAGTTAGGAGAGAGGTAATAGATGGAACAGAAAATTATAAAAGGGGAAATAGGATTGTGCCAAACTTGGCTTATGCCAGAATCACACTGATGAAAAGTTAAAATTTCTTCCAATTTAGAGTGGCTAGGCTCAGAGAAGGGGTAAACACTGACTGGGTGTGTCTGGGAGGCAGAAATGGGTAGAGCAGTAGATCCAGGTACACAGTGTTGGGGGAGTATCTGGGAAAGAAACAGTAGATGGGATGTGCAGTTGTGAAGATCAAGAAAAGCCAAGAAGTGATTTATTTCTGCAGGAGCTGTGTCTATGCCCCTATTGGGCTGGGGCCAGGCAACGCCACACTGCCTTCAGTTCGTCACAAAGGAGCTTCATTTGCATCGCTGCCAGGACAGCCACAGATGACAGAAACCGAGGCCCTGGGTAAGTCATTCATGCTGTGCCAGGAACTCAGTGTGACGTCAAGTAGGGGGATTAAAATGCAAGAGCGAGGCAGGAAGCTGTGGCAGGGAATGTTTTGAAGAGAAGGAAAGGAGACATTCATGTGGAATGATGCTGTTTGAATACCACTTTGAGATGGGATGTTCAAGCTTGGATAAATTGACCCTGGCTTTGCCCTCTGTCTTTCTCTCAACCCCACAAGACCTTTTCAGGATCAGTGCCACCACATTAGTGGCTGTAATTGTAAAGAACAACTTTGGGGAATAAAAAGGCAGCTTTCACAAGAAACACATGAAAACTTGAGATAGCAGCCCTAAGACCAGAGCTAATAGAAATAACACTATAACGCTGTTTAAATTGCTTCATTTTCATGTGCTACTGCGAAGATCACTTCTGTTCATTATCTCTTTTTTGGATCACACACTTGGCTCTGTAACTTCTCCTCAAAACTGCCTTGGGGAAGGAACATTTCTATTACTCCAGCACCAGTCTAAATTGAAACAAAAATAATTGGCTCTAATATATAATTGTAAGTTTTGTTTTCACTTTCCATTGTGCTTAGCTTTTGTATCCCACAAATTTTGAAGATGGCAGAACATTCCAACTTTGTCCAGCTTTCTCATACCTTGCTTTATTCAATTCACCCATCTATCCTGTAATGATGTGTCACCTTCTAGTGGTCACTGGCCACGTCAATAAACCCTAACACAACACTAAAGCGTGTACTGGACTAAAATTCCAGAGACTAGGTTCTAGACCAGCTTCACCAGTAACTTTCAATTTGACCCGAGAAGAGCACTGATTCTCTCCAAACCTCTGCTTGCTTCTTTGTTTACAGAGATTGGTCCAGATCTTTGGCTGGCCAAACACAGCGTGAGTGTGGGAGGGCAGAGTTCTGGCAAGGCATCCGTGGTTTCCCAGAGTCCTGAGCACTTGCTGTAGACTAAGTGCCTTGCATGTTCATACACCAAGCTTTT